GCAGCAGTTGATGCTCAGGGCCTTGATTAATTCACTGGGGTTATCTAAGTCAGCCATTTATGTGCAATAGTTGTAAATCAGGTATGGGTCTTCAGTCTATTTGTGACACGTCTTTAGATGTTGTCTGTGTGTTCCAAGGACAGAGTAAGGATGATGGAAGCCACAGTCCATTCCTACTCAGTCAGGGAAGAGCTTTGGAGTGGCGAGAGCTGACCAAAGCTGCCCAGGCTCTCAGGAGGCACATGCTTCCTGTTGAAGGTGCACTAACAAACAGAGGTGTTCATGAGGATTGTGACAGCATCCACGTTTTATATTACCCATTTTATAGGACATGGGACATTATTTCAAATATGGCACATTCAGATGTTTGCGATGTTGTAATGGTACCTGTTGGCCAAACAAGTGGTCTCGTTTGCTATCTTATCCTTAGAATGCAATTCCCCATTGCAGTGTTGTCATGGGAGGTAGTCTTTATGACAGTTTCTAAATATTTATGTCAATGGACCTGCCAGGCTGGTTTCTCAAAACGTTTAATACTTAGAATATTATGTGTGTGTTTTTTTCCTTTTTAGTTCTTAATGCAGAAAATCAGAAAAGAGAAGATAAATTTACTTGATCAGCATGAAAAGAGGAAACCCATCAAACTGGAATAACTTTTTCATGTCAGGACTGAACAGTGATAACTACAAAATATTCTCGAGGGATATTGTGAAATTTACTAAGTAACATATACACTTAAAGATGATTATTGTGGACTTTTAGTATGTCAGTGGGGGTTACTGTTGAAGCATCTGTATTAAAGATGTTTACATGTGTTGGCTAATAGGTATTTCATGAGAAGATCGATACCAAAAATAGAACACAGGTTTTCCAGGATAGCGACAGTGGCACTTATCCTGGGATGTACTTGTGTTTAAAATAAAACCCACAGGAAGAGTCCATCTTCTGATGCGAAGGAGAGGCCTGCTGCACAAGAAACACACACACACACCTTTTCTTGGGTCCTTCTGGAGTTATTCTCTTCTCCAGATGCGGTGGCAAGTAAGGGTACCAGCCATCATTTCTGTTCTCCCTGTCAGCACTGGATTTTACGGGTTTCTGCTCTACTGTGCTCATTCCTGGTTCTGATACTCAGAGGCCTGGAGTGCTGATTGTAACGCTAACACTACTGACAGCATTGTAAACTCGTTTAAACACCACTGTGTGTGTGGGAGGATTTTTAACGACCACTTGTATAATAGCCCCTGTTGTTTATGTTCAGTGGCTTCCAATGTGAAAACTTGTGATCTGTACTTTGCTAATGTGTGTAGGCAAAGCAGCATCTTCTGTGATGAGTGGGCATCACCAAAAAAAGCTACAAGTGGATTAGACATGACACAACAGGGGCCCGAGGGCGACACGGTACCATGGGGAGGGTTTGTTGTGGACAAACTGCCTACTTTGCTGGAGAAGAGAAAGTTGGTGTTGAACAGTATACTGTTATAAGTTGGGAAATATTAGAAGGGGGAGAGAAATGGCATTGTGTCATAGTTTACATATTTAGCTTGTAAATGCCTATCAAAATGGATTTAAAAAATCAAGTTAATGTTCATTTGAAAATGACTAATCATAATTTACATTGATAATAGTGATCGTTTTGGTTTTAGTTGGCCCTTAATATTTCAGGAAAATAGGCTTTTGTCACTTGTGAATAACTGGCAGAACCATACCAATGGCTTTCAGTGAGGCTCTCTAATGGCCAGGAGGCTGGTGTGCTTACTGAAATATCTGGAGCTACAGGATTGGGATGCGGTCTCTGTGGGCATTTGGTGGGACTCCCTCGCTTGGAAAGGAAACTGGCCCAGAGGAGGTGGAGCCGAACCTGGCCTCACACCCAGGGCGACTTGCTGTGCCCCTGGAAGTCACTGAGGCAGCCCCTGCTTTGCCTTCTAGCATCTCTACAACTTGGATGTTTTCCTGTATAACCCCTTTTACCTAATTGCTAACACTGAATTTTCCCACACAGAAAAGGCACCTAAGAATATAAAAGTAGCTCTATAAGATTGTATCTAAGTCCATATCCCACTCCCTTAGTCTTAGGCTTGATTTTGCAAATAATTGATTCATTTCATATTTAGTTAGTGTGCAGAGTTGCTGAGAAATAAAATACTTAGTCCAGCTTTTAAAACTTCCAGTTTTCCCTTCACCCCCTATTGGATCGCTAAAGGGCCAGCTTTTAAGTTGTGGAGATGAGACGTCAATGTAAATGAAAACTAACCCGTGGTGATGATTTCATCTTCATTTACAGAGGCACCAAGGCCATTCCGTTAGGGGGTGTGCCCTGCGGTTTCTCCAGGCAGTCATGCTTATTACCACTGGCTTCCTGTGCAACAAGCACCTAGCCCAAGGCACAATTTAGAGGTATTATGGCTGTTAAAACACACACACACACACCTGTGTTAATGAGCATCAAGTACATATCCTAACCTTGGTCTTCTCGTGTGGTCCAAATTAAATCATCTATTCCAACCTGTAATCGGCATAAACTAATTCGCACCTGTCCTCTCTGTTCTCAAATGGTGTGCAGGCAGGAGAGAGGAGTCGTTTTTATCTTTTCTCCTGCAGATCAGACTGCAGGTGGAGATTCTAAGCAATCTTGGATTATATTTCCCGAGGAATTTAATCACAGCACACATCTAGTGTGTACTTGTATGTGATGAAACTTGAGAAATAAACATCTCACTCCCTATTCAGTCAGTATGTTGTCATTAAATAACTAGATAATTAGCATGACTGTTTTAATTGGTAATCCATTCATAGAACCTGGTATGGTGAAGAGAATTGTGAATTCATGGTCCTGGAGGTTAGTTTTACTACCATTATATTTTAGCCTAAAGATTATTAATTACAAATAAGTTATTCTAACATTTGTCTTTGAAATGAATTTTAGAAACATTTTTAATAGCAAAGGTTCCATTAACTTGGTTATATTTACACATATTAGCTTAGATATGAAAATGTTCATGAGTGCCTGAAAGTTGGGAAAAGTTTGATTGTGTATTTAAATGTTTGTGTATTTGTATGCTATTTCTCAGTTCAGAGAGCAACACTTTCTTAAAGTGGACTAAGCCTCTGTTCCTTAAAAACTGGTTTGTAAAATTCTGATAATGTATACACTGAATGATTATTCTAAAATATGTTCCTTCCCATGCACTTAAAACACATAACTGAAAGGCTTTAATCTTACTGGTGTGCATCTCTGGGAAGAGTTAACTGACTTTCAATATTATCTTTAAACTATACACTTCAGATAATGAGTTTTACAAACCAAGGCCCTAACCAATTGAGACAAATGCTTACTTTCTGCTCTTACTCCTGAATTGAGTGACATCGAACATAAGCTGCCAATATAGTTTATTCCCCTAGAGAGTCTAGTACTATGCTGGGTGCTTAGTAAATGTTTTACTGTTAAGTCTAAATAAATGATTGCAATTCATCAGAGATATCCTAGATAGGTAAATTGCTTTTCATATTAACTTTTTAACTTTTAAAATCTGCCTTTTAGAAACACTTAAATGAGTAGATACCTTTTTGTATGCATGTTAAACACATGGGAATTAAGGTGAAAACCCACTTGGCTGTAAGAGGTAAGCTGGACAGAGTCTTTGTGTTAGTATTGTAGCTTGCTTCTTATTAATTTGTCTCTGAAATCTCCAGGGTGATATGCCACATCTGCCTTTATCCAAATTCTTTTAAGTTCACATTTAAATAATCATCTCAACATTTTCACTCACACTCCAAAAAAGCTGCTGCATTATTGACATTTAACATTTTTGTACCATTTAAAAAAGGAGTCCTGTGACTCCAACCAGCAGCCTACAACTGGCAGTGTTTTTGTTTTTTGTTTTTCCTATAAAGGACAATCTTGCTCTGGCTTTTTGAGATAGACTCATTAAAAAATTACTCTAGGACTCAACAGGTGACATATCTGTGATCAAAACAAAGTACACCACCTTTAAACTTAGCTTAATGTTTGAATTGTAGACAAAGTTTCGGAGTTGTGTAATAACTTTACATGATCCTCCAGAAGCAGATAAATTCTCTTTTTAAATGGAAGGCATTATTAGCAGAGGACTTCAGGGGGAAAAAAAAACACCCTTATAATCTTACAATGAAAATGAATGCATAGGTAGATTGGTTCAGTATCTTAGGTCATTTCATCTCTTCAAAACCCTAAAACTCTTTGGGCAGCTGTAGCAGGGCAAAATATTCAGTCATCTCAAGTTTTATTTTATGGCTCCTTATTATAAGCAGACGCAACCAGTTCTGATTCCCTACTCTCCTTAAGATTTGGAGGTATTGGATATACCAGCTTGTGTGCTTGGATTGATTTGTAAATACCTGACAAATGAACCAACTTTTATCAGCTTGAAGCAAACTGTTTTAAGCGCAAGGACCAGACTCCAACTTACTACTCCAAATTCCTCTGTACTTCCAGCCATCCTGTGTTCCCACCATCAATATTTCTTTTACTAAAGCAGTCAACTTACTGTCCTACTGACCTTTTTTTACCTTCTCTACTCAGTTTACCCCAGAATAGCTCAATGCCACATTTATAAATTCCACATTCCATTAACTGAATGAGCAGGTTCTAGAAAGATTGTCACTTTCCTCAAGCTTATTCTACAGTTGGGAAGATAGAAACTACTATTGAAATTACAACTAAAAGTGCTAAGTACTTTTAAGGGGCTTGGTCTAAATGTTAATCTTTTAAAAGCAGCAAAGTAATAGTTAAGGACATTTTTAAAACATCTACATTCTTACAGGTATATAATTTGTCGTGACATGGAATCAATGCCCATATAATAGCCTCCCTACATAGCTTAGACTAGGCCCCTTTCAAAATGTATTTTGCCTAAAGACCTTGATTTGAAACATCTTTTAGATAATTTGTTTGAATTACTCAATTGTTAAACAGTAAACACCTTCAGCTCTCAACATGTACCATCAAAATATTACTGTTTTATCTCCAGTAACACGTTTTGGTCATATTTATTAACCTTTATAAACACTATTTTCACTCAATCATTTATAAAAAATGATTTATCATTAAATCTGTAACAAAACCATATAACGTTCATCAATGCATTCAACGGGATCAGTTTCATCCACAGACATAATAAACCACTTTAAAACAGCAGTTTTCATTCACGTCATATAAGGCTGTCAAAATAAAAATTCCTCATAATGGTTTGTCATCCAAGAAATCCATGTCACTTCATGTTATATGGTAAGACTGATGGGTGGGTCCTAAAAAGTAGAATCTGAAAGATTTTACTCCTTTATGATCACCTGTCAGTCTCAAACAAGTTTCACAACAGGAAAATATTTGTGAGCAGAGAAATCAAATTCAGGAGGAACCTGTAAAGAAAATCAGGAAGTCAATGTATCTAACAAATATTCAAACAGTAAACAAAGATTATTTTTATTTTAGAGGATTTTTTAAAGACAAGGTAATACAAGAGATTTTTTAAAAGCTGGTTAAATAGCAAAGAACTAAGTTAGGAACTAACCTGGGTTTATGAAGATCACTAGAAAACAGGCTGACCATCTATCTTTAGAGAACAGTTAAAAGGAAAATGGACTTAAATTACAGGAAAAAGTCATGGGTCGGCAAATTTTTTAGTTCCAGGGTCACCAATAGTACTGAACGATTAGAGTCGCTGGTAAAGCCAGGCAGGAAAGGAGATAGAAAACAATGGGAGTAAACAAATAGCAGTACATATAACGGGCAGATGGCACCACAAAAGCCTCAGCGGTTGGCTTCCAACGAGATGCAGAACCTCTGTGTTGAATATTTACATAGCACTGATAAAATATCAAGCAAGCATCCATCTCCTAAACCATTAAAAATATCTTATTGAAGCATCCACTTTTCCAACCACAGGCGACTTTTTAAATACCTCTCCCATATATGTATGTATACACCTTTTTTTACCCCAAGTAATTTGAAGAGTGGTAAGGAGGGGAATGAAAGGCAGAGTTTTGAAAATTTAAGTTAACTTACGTCTCAAGTCAAAAGGGCAAGCTCTAGTTTATTTTCTATTTCCTGCTTCAGATGCTCTTTTAGGATGATTTTTGAGTGCTTAATTTTTTTGGAATGAAACATCTTATTGAAAAAAGTGAAGCTCTATAATAAATTAGGACCATTTATTTTCCCCACAATGTACTTAACTTACCTTAGATTCCTTTTTGTGTCCTCCTGCCAGTAACTTCATAACCACAAAATTGGGTTTGGCAACCTTTAAAATTCTATTGACCTAAACAATGAGCAACATTAAACTTTATCAAAACATAAAATTTACAATCAAGATGTCTTAATATTATAGATACTAATAGGAACTTTGCACATGTGTTGACATTTTATTAAATATAGGTAATTTAAAAATAGATTTCTTTTAGTAACACAGAACCCTATTTCAGTCAATTTTGAAAACTTTAAGGGGCTACTGTAGCTTGCTCTTAGGAAAACAAAAGAACATTGAGCTGCGAAGACAGCACCATGGAGGGGGCCGTGGACTTTGAGTGAGGCTGTCTGCTTACAAATTCTAGCTTTGCCACTTACTAGCTATGAAATCTCTGGCAAGTTCTCTAACTTCTCTTCCTCAGTTTCTTTATCTGTTAAAAAGGGGGTTAATAATTTTCCCTATCCCACCAGGATCTGTTGTAAAGATTAAATGAGTTCATATATATTATGACCTGAGAACCAGGCCTCACAGGTAGTAAGTATCCTGTAAGTGTTAACTGTTATTTCTATCTCTGTCTAAAAAGCTTCACTCCAACACATGAATACTGATGGGATGTGCAACTTGAAGGGACAAGTTCTGTCGTCTTGCTGACCACTCAGGAAACACACTTCACCGTACTTTAATGAACACTCCTCCTCAGCTCCAGATCGCACCTCCACCTGCCCTGATGGCAGCTCCATTTATGTGGGGTGTCCAAAACAGCTCAATGTTCCAGCTCTGCCACCCTCCCTGCTCCACCTGCATCTTTCTCAAGTGATTCCATCCAACCAGGTGTTCAGGCCAAAAACCTTGGAGTCATCCTTGACTCCATACCCAATCCATTATCAACCAATTCTGCAGGCTTGACCTTAAAATACATACAGAATGCTATCACTTTTGCTCACCTCCACTGTCACTTCCAACTCTTACCCGGATACTGCTATGGCCTACTACCTGGTTCCCTTGCTTCTGCTGACCCCACTATAGTCTATTTTCAGCCAAGTGACCACAATGATCCTTTGAACACAGATCTGGCCACTCCTCTGCTTGAAACCCTCTAACAACTCCCCTTTTTTGCCCCACTCCAGCACATCAGTCCTTGGCTGTTCTTCAAGTACTCGAGGCACACTCCTGCCTCATCACACCTTTACACATGTGGTTCCCACCGCCTAGAAGGCTCCATGCCTACCTGGCCACATGATTTGCTTCTTCACCTTCCAGGATTTGCTCAAAGGCCACCTTATTAAAAAATGCATCACCCCCTCTTCCTCCTATCTCCTGTAGCAGTCACTATCCCATTCCCAGCCTGATTTTTTTCTTTGTAATATTTATGATCTACTATACTATTTTACTTATCTTTTCATTTATTATTGTCTGCAACTCACCACTGAGGAGGGCTGTGATTTTTGTCTTTTTTTCACTGTTTGACTCTACCACAGTGCTGGAGGCATAGGAGGCACTAATGAAATACTTGAATAAGTCAAGTCCACTACTAGTAAAAGAAATAGGCTGTTTTTTTAATTTTTATACTTCCCTCCTTTTTTTTATTACATGGATATACTAGTATGTGATAAAAAAAAAAGTTGTCTCTTTCCCATCCCTGTTTCCTGACACGCCCTCCTCTCAAGAAGCACACAGTTATTCTAATTTCTATTATCTTTCCAGAAATATGTTACATAATACTTTCCCCTTTTGACTGAAATGGCAACATATTATATAGCTTACTACCTTGCCTTTTAAACTTACTGTATTCTAAAGAATGTCCCATTACAGTATATAAAGGTCTTCCTAGTCCTTTCAAAAGTTGCATAGTATTTCATTGTAGCACGTGTCTTAAGTTATTTTACAGTCCCTTGTTGAATGACGACTTTCTTCACTTTTTTGCTAATATAAATCCTGCTGTGATAAATACTCTTGTATTCTGGTCACTTCCCTTACTTTGCACATGAGCACATGTTTCTGTAGAAAAACCCTAAGAAGCAGAACTGCTGAGCTACCCTTCCATGGAGGTTGTACCGAGATATACTCCCCCACAAGGTGTATGATACAAGTTACTCTCTTTACAGAATAAGTGCATTTAAATAAAAGTAGATATACAGCAAATTGAGAAAATTATAAAAACCTGAAACTTAATATGTACAAGCTTTGTAAAATGGTATTTTAAAATAAAGTCACCAAAAACAATAGTCTTTATTTTATATGGTCAAGAAGATAAAGTGGTTTTCACTTCTTGTGATAACTAACCAGATAATTTTTCAGATTAAATATTTATGTGATTATATTTGAATATAATAAACTATAGATTTAAATATTTTAAACTAACATTTCTAACAAGCCAGATCTTATTTCTATTCTTCACAGTTGTGTCTTAATTTTTCCTTGCATTGATTTCTAAATTTACCCATAGAAGGTATTTATATCACCTCTCATCAAATTTTAAGCCTGACAAGGGTAGGTTAAGAAAGCCATTTGAAATCTGGGGCAGAAACATGACAGGCTTCACTTATGAATACCATGAAGTTCACTTTTACACGAACTGTCACCCAGCGGTAAGATTTGTACTCCCGACCATCTTTTCCTGTAGAGTCACTGAGACTGAGCCTTACCTCGCGGTCGGGGTTCGGAAGGTTCTCCAGGATCATTTTGGCCTGCTGGAAGTGCTTGCTAGCTGCCACGTACAGTTCTGGAGACTGGGGGGGAGGGCTGTATTTATTGAGGTCAGACATTTCCTAAAAGGGGGAAACACTATTATTCAAAACATGTTCAATATGAACAACTCTAAAACATCTTTAAAATTAATTCTATATTGACTATCCATTCCTATATAGACAACTAAGCAAACACTCAGCATGTCCCTATTTTTTCCTAGGTAATATTAAATTTTCAACCTTCAAATACTGCCTCATATTATTCTCATTCTTAAATAAGTGTTAAACATGATAATATTGTAGTATCCCCAAAAAACCAAATAATTTTGATTGAAATTGCCATTTTCTTACTTTGTCCCATTAGTCCAACAGTCTAACTTCAGTATTTTAACAAAGTGGCTAGGTATAAACATCTCTCAGAAAGCCTAAGAATAAATATTTTAGTGACTTTAGTGAGCAGGTTCACCTTGAACTGCAGATAGTGCACTGGGGGTGGTGTCATTACGCTGTTGAATGGAGCAAATCTGTGCTCATATCGAACTTGTTCGCTATCAAGCTCAAACTTGGGTTTTCGTACTTTGCCATCCATGTCAAATGCTACCATGGTCTACAGGAAAAAAGAGAACAAGGAAATATATATCAATATGAAAAAGTAACCATTCTCATTAATTCAGAATAGAAAACAAGAAATAGCTATTTACAGATATCTAAAACAACTTAAGGCTCAGAAGTCAGAAACAGGAAGAGAAAAACTGGCTTTAGTGTTTATTTTTATGAAAACCTTATATAAAAGGTTTTCAAGGCCTAGGATAGATATTACTATTTTTCCCAGTGAAATTATACCATATGCACATTATTTTTTCCATGCTTTACAATAGTTTTGAAAGCTTCAAGTAAAAGTTTCTGAAAAAACATGTAGGCATATAAATTTTTATAAGAAAAAGAGTACATGTTCTGTATACCATGTTTCCCGAAAATAAGACATCCTCCAAAAATAAGACCTAGCGCATGGAAAGATAAGACCTAGCGCAACTTTGGGAGAAAAAATTAATATAAGACACTGTCTTATTTTCGGGAAAACAGGGTGTTTTAAGTTTCTTGTTATTACCATTAAAGTTGGGACTCCTTGAAAATGCCTGTCTGTTTAAACCATTCACTGTGGAGCCTGCTCCTTTCCTAATACACTCCTAAAAGATGCAAACCCTGTCTCTCCCAAGAAACCTTTGCTGATCATTGATAAACCTTCTCTGATTATCTGTGTCACACATGTCAACTGTCCTGTCATTAATAAGGCACCTGAGATAAGGATCACATCTGATTAGACTTGGTATTCTGCAAGGTATTCATTACAAGATATCTGGCATACAACCTGGGCTCAAATATTTGGTACACAACTTCATGAAAACAACTAGACTTGGAAAAAAGGTTTCAAGCAGATGTTTAACATAGGTGAAATTAGAACCTAGAAAAAAATCACAAAGAGAGTCAATTTTAACTAAACTACATGATAGTAGTATAGTTAAAAAGCAAAAAGAACTTTATTTTCAACTTACCTTAAACATTCCAGCACACATGTTCTGATAGGCCTGGCTCATTGTGATTTCTCGGCTCAAAGGGCGAACTGTAATTAGAAAGAAAATCACCTGTACTCTTTCACCCTCTTGCATTATTGCAGGAGAAAATATAATTTTTTAAATATATTTTTATTGATTTTTTACAGAGAGGAAGGGAGAGAGATAGAGAGCTAGAAATGTCGAAAGAAACAACCAGTTGCCTCTTGCACACCCCCTACAGGAGATGTGCCTGCAACCATCAACTAGCTGCCTCTTGCACACTCCCTACCGAGGATGTGCCCACAACCAAGGTACATGCCCTTGACTGGAATTGAACCCGGGATCTTTCAGTCCGCAGACCCGACACTCTACCACCGAGCCAAACCGGTTTCGGCAGAAAATATAATTTTTAAAAAGAATCTTCCATGTTTACTAAATTAAAATTTCCAATAGTTTGTTCCTACAGGCTACATTTTATTTTATGGTCCAAAACTACAAATAATAAAATATAACTTAAAGACTAAATGAAAATCATGTTCCTTGAATGGTTAATATCAAAGAATTCTAATGTAAAGTAATTTTAACTTCTGAGTTCATTATATAGAGATGTAACCTTTTTTTTCCCTGTATATAATATAATATGTATTTAGTCCCAAATGCTGTGATAAATGATGTTTCCTCTTTTTTTAAAATTTTTTTCAATTACAGTTTATGTTCAAAGTTATGTTGTATTAGTTTCCGATGTATTGCATAGTGGTTAGACAATCTTATACTTTACAGAGTTCTCCTCATATTTCCAGTACCCACCCAGCACTGCACAGAGTTAAGAGATTTCTTAAAGAGGAAACACATGAACAGTCATTTAATAGCCCACCCAAACTGTTAAATCTGATGGAAATACAAAGAAATATTTTGTAATGATTATAGCAGTATCTGTACCCATCCACAAGTGACTAATGGGGCAGTCCCTTTGAAACACTTCTTTCTCCTCGTGGTCCCTGAGTGGTGTGCCAAGGTCCTAGTCATCCTGTGCAGACTCTAAAAGCACATCTCCAGATCTGCCTCTCTCCTGAGCTGCCGGCCTTCTGTCCAAAGATCAGAAGCTTGCTGTCTTGCACTTTAACTAAATTGCTTGCATGGTCTATGTGCTACTTCTTGTCCTAAGGTCCTCTGACACATGGAATTGCAAAGAAAGGAATCAAAAAGTGTTGCATCACTGCCGAAAACGGTGTGGCTCAGTGGATAGAGCGTCGGCCTGTGGACTGAAGGGTCGCAGGTTCGATTCCGGTCAAGGGCATGTACCTTGGTTGCAGGCACATCCCCAGTAGGGGGTGTGCAAGAGGCAGCTGATCGATGATTCTCTCTCATTGATGTTTCTAACTATCCCTCTCCCTTCCTCTAAAAAAAAGAGAAAAAAAGTGTTGTATCACTAATATTGGGATTCCGTTTCTTATACTTTTGAAGAAAAGATGAGAATTAAAATATTATGACTAATTCATCCATTACATGGGACAGAAGTGTCTCCAATATTGTTTGTTTCTTAAGTTTAAAAATAATCCACCACACCTTTCTTCTTTTTCTTTGTCTTTTTACTGCTACGGCCCTTCTGCTGCTCTTCCATTATCCGTTCCTCTGCCATTTGAGAGCCATCAGCACGACTTAATGTCGACATCAACCATGCATAAAGGAATTCAGACAGATACCTTATAGAATAAAAATGTTAGTTAACAGTGAGTATCTAAATGAGATTGCTTTATCAACACATGTATTGATACTGATAAAGAGCTATTTTTCATAATACTAAAAAAGTATTTTAAAAATAGATTATCCAATTAGATAATTAATAGATCTTAGATGAGAATCAGCATTACAAGTGATTAACTTTCCCTTTCTTGTAGCCATCTATGTTGCCACACAATACTGGAAAATTTAATTTTTCTACAATGACATGTGTTTTACTACTTTACAAAATATTTCTTGATAATGATGTGTATACGTAAATCAAATTAATGCCCATTACATTGGTTTTACTATATCAGGACACATTCACCTCAACCTATTAAGTAAATATTTTCCCCCGTTATTACAAAAAAAAAAAAAAAAAAAAAAGGCAAGTCCAAGCCAAGAGCACAAAAGCTTCCAATCAGCCTCCTAAAACCACCAACAAAGAACTTGAGCATTTTCTCCATAAACTGTCTTCTTTGTCTACTATTAGTTAACAAAATGTAACCCAAGTATCTATACCAAGACCCTTTGGTAAGAATTATCTATTAAAATATTGGAGAATATACTAAATAATATTTTTATCATATCACTATAGTTGATGCTCAAATTCAATTTTCATAATCAAGAGCTTTTGGTTCAAGAACCCTTAGCGCCATGATAAAACAAAACAAAACATGTCAATTGCATGGAAGAGAATTACTTTCATTCTTTCATAGATTTACTCCAAGGAATATACAATACCTTAATTACAAATAAAATAATTTGAGTTAAAAGATGAACTATATTAAGATTTAATATACTAAACTTAATTGTTTGTGATGAGCAATAATAGATTATTATTTTAAAATTACCATCACAATTTGCCAGACTAAGAAAAAGATTTAAGATGACTCAGACTCAATCCATTAGCTCAATCCATTAGCTCTCTTTTTCCCACTCCCATGTGTCCAGAACATGAATCAGGCATGGGCAGAGACCAAAAGCCAATCGGGGTTAAACAAGGAGTGACTTGTTCCTGGCTGAAATTCTTCACTTTCTTCTGTGACAGTTTTCCCATGCCTAAAATATTCTCAAGCATCCTCTTGCTAGCTCTTGTTATCTCCAAGTGAAAGAAGAGAACTTCTCTGAGGATCATTTCTCATCAGCTTCTTTATACCACATGAAACAAGTCCTTAGGGATGCAGTCTGCAAATGATAATCTCAGCCTTGATTTCTTCTCAGAAGAAAGATCTGGCTCAAATTTTGAACTTTAATTCAGATAAGTACAATACACAGCTAATAGCAACTAGCATCACTGAAATTAGGCCAAAATGTGTATTATTTTTTCCCTTAGAAATAGATAAGAGCTCTTCCAATTGTCCCAAAGCTAAAGTTAAAATACACAAATGAAAAAAGTACTCTATGGTTATATTCTACAGATGCTCTCTCAGATCTTTTCTATCCCCCCACACTTACCAATATATGTAGTAGTACTCGTGCATGCTGTAGAGCTCCAGTTCAAAGCCACTGAGAAGATACTGTATCATAATTTTGAGGTTATGGTAAAGGACCCAGGTACCTAAGCAGGCCAAATGTTGCCTTTGGGGTTCCTGTTTCAACAGCATGGTGTGAAGAGCGGCATCAACCTTCTCTGCCTATCAGAATGAAATAGCGCAACATTTACTTTCTTTATAAGTAATGAGAGAATTTAAAATAAACTGCTAAAAACAGCATGAGCAGAAAATGAAAATCTTGCCACTAAAAGAACTCATACTTACAAAAGTAGTTTTGGTTAAGTTTATAACCAAACTTTTCATTTCACAATGGATAACATTTAGCTAAATAGTCTTTAAGCTAAAAAGACATCCAATTAATAGGCCAAAAATAAGAATAACTGATTTCAGGTCTTTAGTTATATTTTCAATTAATATTGCTGCTGCTCACAAATTTACTCTGAGGTTAATATGTAATAATTTTTATAATACGAACTTGCTGTAAAATTATAGTTTTACATATGTTTTATAACTTATCCTGATTACCAAAGAAATAATTCAGTTTGAATTATTGTTCTGTTTCTTTTAAAAAAATACATGATTTTTAAAATTGATTTCAGAGAAGAAGAGAGAGAAACAGAAACATCACTGATGAGAGGAAATCACTGACTGGTTGCCTCCTGCACATCCCCTATTAGGGATCAAGCCTGCAACCCAGGCATGTGCACTGACCAGGAACTGAATCATGACCTCTTGCATATGTGGATGCTCAATCATTGAGCCACTGCAGCCTGGGCTTGTTCTGTTACTTTTTGGAAACTCTTACTTTGGTATATGAAACTGTTACATTGTAAGGAAAAGAGAATTCACCATAGTGAAAAATTAAATAGTCAAAATACTATTCCAAAAAATTGTTTTAAAAGTCTGGTCACGTCATATGAACTGCTGAATTTTAGAAAGGAAGGGCTACTTTGTTGACTCTTACCTCATCCTGCAAGGTAGCAAATTCCTCGAGAATATGACCGAGCTTGTCTCTCTGTCGAGCCCTATTATGCCCATGGATCTGAATAAGACTACAGAAAGGCTGCAACACATTAAAATTTGTTAACTATCAATATGAAATTTCCTGATACTATAGAAAATTAACATTCCAAGTTTCCAAAATCTGGTTTAAGGAGAAAAAAAATACTGAATATGTAAGAATCATGCCTATGTATATTTTTTACATAGGTGTTTCTTTTTGAGGAACACCAGGGTTTATCAATAGATAGAAGTGGCTGTTATGAAACTTGTTTGCATAGGACAAAAATATCTTCTTTTAATCTTCAGATGTCATTCCACACTTTAAAGAGGAGTTTCTTTTGTGCTTATTTCAAGGCAAAAAGCACTGTTCAAGGCTGATACATCTGTGCAGCTTTAAATACACCAGAATGCCTAATAATTGTAAGACTTGACAATGGCGAATAACTATAAACTCTTTGGTTGTTCTGTTCCTAATCTATACAATGGCCTACATAATAAAAAGCTAATATACAAACCGAACCACACTATGGAATGACTGGTTGCTATGACGTGCACTGACCACCAGGGGGCAGACGCTCAACACAGGAGCTGCCCTTTGGTGATGAGCATGTTCTCACAGGGGGAGCACCACTCAGTCAGAAGCTGGGCTCACAGCTGGTGAGCACAGTGGCAGCAGTGAGAGCCTCTCTCGCTTGCATGGCAGTGCTAAGGACCTCTTGGGGGATGTCCATCCCGCTCCTCAAGAGGACGCAGGCCAGGCTGAGGGACCCCCTATTCCCCAGGGCATGAATGTGGTCCACTGGGCCTCTAGTCCTATATAATAAAAGCCTAATATGCAAATTGTCCCTCAACCAAGAGTTCAACCCAAGGGGTTAGGGTCAGCTGGCCAACGGCCTGTGGCCCCACCACAGCCGACCCCCTTTCCCTGATCGGGGGTGGGGCCAGCCAGCAGCCAACCTCTCACATCCACCCCTGGCCAGCCCAGGCAGATCAGCCCCGGTCAGGGTGGGCTGGCCAGAGCCCATCCATGCACAAATTCATGCACTGGGCCTCTAGTTCTCATGTAAAATATTGTAACATTTTAGTAATCGAGCAACAACCATGAACAGTAGGATGCTCTGATTTAAGAAGTATGAATCATAAGATTCAAGTATAATATTATTTTAATATGGTATACTTTGACAGATTATCTCATTTGATCACTAACTAGTCTATCCTCTTAAGAGGTACAGAGGTAAAATTAACATTGACATTTTAAAAATCGGGAAATTTATAGAAAAGTAAAGTGACCTCCCTGATAATGATAAATTACCACTGATAAAAATGAAATCTGGTCTCTCTTTTGACCATACCATGCTGTCTTCATGTATATATGTATGTGTATGTGTGTGTGTGTGTGTTGTTTTAGTAATTAGAATGACTAAAAAGAGCTCTCAGTAAAGAGATTATAATTAAGAATGGCTTATAATAAACTAAATCCACCACAAGAGTTGTATGTTTTCTTAACTCCTTGAAATTTGAAAAAAGTTTGTGATCTCATCTAAATTAATAATTTTACTCTAATCCTGGTCATTAAGATAGTTTGAGGATAAGTGCCTGGGGATGTTACAAATATGCCTAGTTTATAAGGTCAAAAATAAGTAAAGATTTGTGTCCATTTAAAAAAAAACACCAAAAAATAATGTGGACTGCTGTTTCCCCAGATGGCGTAATAACCCGTTTCTGTGGTTCCTGAGGGTATTAGTAAGAGGCATCCAAAAATGCCTCTGTACCTGATAACCTGCCGGGATCACAATAGCTTATGATGCTATCAACTCAAGCATAAGAAGAGATAGAAACTTTCTATGTAGTGAATATGGATAAGAAATATTAGATGGAAAAATAGCACAAATTAATGCTACTAAAGGAATTATACCCCACAATTTTTAAAGTATCCATCACAATGTTCCAAACTGTAGTACTTACCCGAACACAGTGAGTAACAAAGGAATCAATACAATCCTTAGCCTGGTGGTTATTATATAGGCAGCACCTGTAAGAAATATCCATGTCATGAAAATCAAACTATTTGGGAACTACCATCAGAAATAACTATAGTTTAATAGGAACTAGATGTGGCAGACAGGGAGGCACCTAGCAAGGTCTGTTCAATCAAAGGCCTCTCTGTGTCCTGTTGTTAAAGATGGCCCAGAAAACACCTATCAAATATTTGCTTTTCCATCTCCATGTGAATTGCCTTCATCCTCTGTGAAGTCCCAAAGTTCTAGCTCCCTTTCTCCTTGGCCCAAGGTGGCACATAAAATAATGAAAGAAATAGAGTATTAGGTTGGGGGGAAAGGGGGTAGAAGAAAGTTGACACTTCAAAAAAAATGTTTTTATTAATTTCACAGAGAGGAAGGGAGAGGGAGAGAGAAAAAAAAAAAAAAAAAAAAAAAAGGGAGAGAATCATCTATTGGCTGCCTCCTGCATGCCTCTCACTGGGGCCCACAACCCGAGCATGTGCCCTGACCAGGAACTGAACCATGATCTCCTGGTTCATGAATCGATGTTCAATTACTGTGCCACACTGCTGGGCAGCTGACACTTTTTAAATAGACTGATCAGGATAGCCCTCACTGAAGTGATACTGAATGGACCTGAAGGTAGTGAGGGGGCCATCTTTGGGAATTTTTGAGGAAAATGTCCTCCACTCCCATCTCTGTGTAAAACCATGAGAGAACGTGTATGTTCCAGGAAGAGTAAGGAAGCCAGTGTGGCTGAAGGAAAGGAGGTGCAGGGAGGGCAGTTAGAGATGACATCACAGGGGTATCGGCACAGGGGTCTAGATAAGAGCATATGGGGCTTCAAAGGCTCAGTTATAGATTGTGGCTTTTACTGTGAAAGAAGTGATGAACCTTAACCAGCACCGAGGATGCTTGGGAATTTACTTCCTCCCAGTTAAGAAGCAGTCCTTAAATGAGAGGTGTCTGGGTAAATTCTCAAGTTCCCTTGCCTGAATAGGACAACTCTGAGGTGTCACCCACAATGTCTCCAGAGCTCCCCGACAGGACTGAACCGGAGGAGTTACTCTCCATGATATATCCTATAGCAATATCCTATACTTTTTCCTGGGAACACTTTATAATTACATTTACATGAATCTTTGTCTCAGGGTCTGCTTCTGAGGAATCCAACCTCAGAAAAAAGCTACTAGAAAGTTCTAAGTGGGATGTGGCATGATTTATTCAAGAAATTGGTTGCTGAACCACTAACTGTTCTTATCTATCTATCTATATATCTATATATATATCTATATATATATCTATATATATATATAGATATATATATATATAAAAAAGCCTAAGCAACCGTCTGACCATCCGATAGCTATGATGCGCACTGAGCAGACTGATGAATCTCAGAGGGAATGGGGAAAGATTAACCAAAGTTCTTATATGCATACTAGAGGCCCAGTGCACAAATTTGTGCACCAGTGGGATCCCTTGGCCTGGCCTGCAGGGCTCTCTGACATTCCCCAAGGGGTCTCGAATTGCAAGAGGCCGCTGGACAGGCCAAGGGACCCCACTGGTGCACGAATCTGTGCACTGGGCTAATATTAATATATAATCTCATACACCCAGTCTTCATACACACTGGTTTCTTTGTTAAGAAATAGGCTCCTGCCCTAGCCGGTTTGGCTCAGTGGATAGTTTGGCCCACAGACTGAAGAGTCCTGGTTTCAATTCTGGTCAAGAGCATGTACATGGGTTGCAGGCTTGATCCCCAGCCTTGGTCAGGGGCCCTATGGGAGGTAATTAATGGATATCTCTCTCTCTCACATCAATGTTTCTGTCCCTCCTCCCCCTTCCTTCCATTCGCTCTAAAAATCAATGGAAAAATATCCTCAGGTGAGGAATAACAAAAAATAAAAGACTCCTTTCTTCCCTCAGCCATGGAAAGCTCTCCGAATTTTCCAAAATGCCAATTCAAATGATGATTCCTTCTGCCTGAAATACTTGCCAGCCTCTTATAGCAGCAATTTTTTGGGCAATGACTCTGTCAGACATAATTTAAGAATAAATTATCTGTATTTTTCTATTTCTATCTAGACTCAGCTCATTGAAAATAGACCTTATCTTTTTTTGGTAATCATTTCCCAAAGCACCTAACAGTGCTTTGCACTTAGTAAGGGTCAATGCAATTTACTAAATTTCTGATAAGTCCTTGATATTTTTCTTCTTATACTGGACCTAATGTCAACTTCACTAAAACCTCTGTCTAAATCTAAACAACATGTATCATAAATCTATTTTAACATGACCGATTTTTTTTTTTATATGGATACTTGATTCTAACAGTTTTAATGCCTTGATTAAAAAGGAGATGGTCAGGCAATTTGGGCTTTTAAGAAACAAATAGGGCCCTAGCTGATTTGGCTCAGTGGATAGAGTGTCAGCCTACGAACTGAAGGGTCCCAGTTCAATTCTGGTCAGGGGCACATGCCTGGGTTATGGGCTTGATCCCCAGTAAGGTGGCATGCAGGAGGCAGCTGACCAATGATTCTTTCTCATCATGATGTTTCTCTCTTTCCTTTCCCCTCTGAAATCAATAAATGTATATATCTTTATCTATAATTTTTTTAAATTGCCTTTCTTCTTATAAAAAACCCACACATTTGTTATAAAACTTTCTACAATACTTACTTTGGGGAAAGCACTGGAGGACTGACAAAAGATCGAAGTGCATCTTTCACCATGTCTTGCATGAGGTGAGTTCCAAAGACCTTTTTGTTATCCACCAAGAAAGTGGTCTTAAAACAAATATTATATATTAGTAATACTGCCACAAACTTGCTGTTGACCCATTGCACCTATATCTGCCATTATTGTGACATGAGCTTAATTTTTTAAAATACCACAAAGTAAAAAGAGATTAAAATATTGAAAGTTGATGGAAAATTTTTATAATCAGTCTCCACAATGGATATTACTTATTAATCCCTACTTAAGGTGTATTTGATGCAAGAGAATAAGTCTTTCAAGTCAAAAGTAGTAATTGTGCATTTGTCAAATTAACTAACTAGTCTAAATATGTCAAATGAGCTAATACATAAGAATGAGCGTCATAAATTGTGAAATAGTAAATGGCTATATTTATTAAACTAGTCAATAACCTTTACCTCTAGTGAATGCTTTGGAATATATACAACCTTTCCAAAATTGGATGAAGCAATAGATTATTAAAAAGTATATTAAATTTAAAATAAATAATTTAATAATTTGTATTTAACTTTCTCCCTTCAACCTCAATGCACTGTAATATTTACTATATTGTTCCTTACTTGCTTCCTAACACATTTGAGGAGTTTCCAGTTTTTTGTGATCATGAACCAACAGTATAAATATCCACATACAGATTACCAAAACATCAGATTCCACTTCTCTAGGGTAAACAAGTAGGAGTGGGGTTTGTATATTTCATTTTATAAGAATGTGCCAATTGTTTTCCAAAGTATCTGAAGCATTCATTCCCATCAGCATTACATCCTTACAAGCAGTTGATATTCTATTTTTCTTTCTTTTTTAAAAAGATATTCTGAAAGGTGAATAATATTTCATTACAGTTTAATTTGCAATTCAGTAATATTAATGATGTTAAATATTTTACCATATTGAAGTGTTCAAATTTTTTGTTCACTGGATTGTCTTGTTTCTTTATAGTTATGCTTATAGAGTTCTTTATATGTTCTAGATCCAGGTCCTTTGTCTCACAGTATTTACAAATATTTTCTCACACTCTGCAGGCGTCCTCAAACTTTTTAAAGTGGGGGCCAGATCATGGTCCCTCAGAGAGCTGGAGGGCCGGACTATATGAACTACTAATTCCTACTGTAACACCTCGGCTGCGCTCACTGCCCAAAAAACCTGGCGGGCCGGATCAGACTCCTCTGCGGGCCGCATGTGGCCCGAGGGTCGTAGTTTGAAGACACTTGCTGTAGAGGATCTTCATTTTCTTAATTGTCTTCCACATAATTACTAGTAAAGTTTTAAATTTATCAATTTAAGGATTATGCTTTTAATGTCACATCTGAGCATTCTCTGCCTTCTCCAAAGTCACAGAGATTTCTTCTCTTTTATTATGTCTTCTTCTAAAAGTCCTATAGTTTCACATTTTACATTTAGGTTTATGATGTATTCTGAGTCAAATTTTTCCCCATATGCCCGTCCAATTTGCACCACCAGTTGAAAAAGACTACCATTTCTCTATTGATTTATCTTTGTGCTTGGTCAAAATTTTACCATGTTAATTTCATTTTCATTCTAATTTAAGATTTCCTTTTTGATCCATGGGTTCTTTAGACATGGATTAATTGCCAAATATTTAGAGAATTTTCCAGGTATCTTCCTGTTACTGATTACTCATTTAATTCCAAAATAGAGTGCATACTTTGTATCATTTTGTTTTAAATTTGAAGTTTATTTTATGGCACGGGTGTGATCTTGATAAATGTCTAACACTCTCTAAATCAATGCTTCTAATAAAACAAAAGTTACATTAAATGTGGAAATCCTATGGCAAGAAATATCTACCTTTTGTTCCATCAATCACATAATTTGATGTTTAAGGAAGTTTTTTCAATACTAAGTGGAACTTACTTGTAACAGAGATCTTGAAAGAACACAAGGTGATTGTTCACTAAACTCACAGAAAAAATCCTAAGAAAGAAACAGAGAAAAAGTAATGTCAAAAATAAAAAAAGTAATGTCAATAATAAATTAAATAAAAGCAGAAAAGCATCTGCATAGAGAGTGTAATTTTTACTAGAAATAATATCGTACCAGAGTCAGAATATGTTCTCTTAATTGTCTAATTGTACTAATAAGATTTTGGATAATTTTAGAGCCTTAATTTTTTAAAACAAACTGACCAATAATAGTATTGTGTGGATACTCATATTAAATCTGTATACCATGAAAATAACAGTAACAGTAATAACTTACTAATGACAGAGGTTTACTTCCTACTTCACATAAATAAATACCAAGTAAGTAGGCTAATTGGATTCATATTACCAAATGACTGTTCCTGATCTTAGGGAAAGACCAAAAGATATGCTCAGAAAACTGAGTTTATACACAGAGAGGAAAAAAAGATAGACACTGAAGGCTGGCTGGCTGGCATGGCTCAGTGCTTGAGCATCAATCTATGAACCAGGAAGTCACAGATCGATTTCGGGTCAGGGCACATGCCTGGGTTTCAGGCTTGATCCCTGGTGTAGGGTGTGGAGAGGCAGCCTATTAATGGTTCTCTCTCATTACTGATGTTTCTCGCTCTCTCTCCCTCTCCTTTCCTCTCTGAAATCAATAAAAATATATTTAAAAAACAACAATAGGTTATAGGATTGTATAATAGTTATTTTTTTTCCCTTGATTTTTTAGAGAGGAAGAGAGAGGGATAGAGAGTTAGAAACATCGATGAGAGAGAATCATCAATCAGATGCCTCTTGCATACCCCCTACTGGGGATGTGCCCACAACTAAAGTACATGCCCTTGACCGGAATCGAACCTGGGACCTTTCAGTCCGCAGGCTGACGCTATATCCACTGAGCCAGACCGGTTTCGGCAGGATGGTAATTATTTAACTTCATATTTTTCTGGGTCAAAGTATGTACATTTTTAAGATGAGAGAGATAGCCACTGGAGTACAGTAGAATGACTATTTCCCTTTACAATATTAAAATAATATTTTACTTATCAAATTGTTGTGAATTTCTTTAATTACTATTAAGTTTGAATATTTTTAATGTTTATTGCTTTTTAAATGTTTATGTCCTATCCCAATTTTACATTTTGTTGCTTAACATTATCTTATTGATATGTCTGCATTCTCTAAAATCTGTCACTTTATTCTAATAACAAGCTTCTTATGCAGTTCCAGCAGACCATTTGGTCCCTTATCCTTCCTCACTTTACTCTTGGCTTCTGCCACAGGCCCCCACTACCATGAACTATTCCTCTGTCCCCAGCCTTCCAGAGATCCAGACTTTTCTCTGACTAGGCTCTTTTCGTGTCCAGTGGGCAGCAAGTTAGGCCTGGCTCCCCAGCTTTCCTCTATTATGGTATGTCATTATGCATTCACCCCTCTAAGGGAATCTATAATCTCCTGCCAGAATACAAATCCCAACTATTGCATTATATTTTCTGATTCCAATTCACATTGATCTTCTCTTTTTCTAAAACCCTACAATTAAATACCTATGTAACAATTAAGGAACAGAAAAGTAAGAGCAGAGAGTAAGAAAATCTCTATTAACCAGATAAGTTAATAACCAATCTTAATTAAGTTACAATGAATTACAAAATGAATTGGCTTATGCTTGTAATCTTTTCTATCTTTAAGATTCATGATTCTTAAGGACAGACTATTATAAAGTAAATAAACACAACAGGAAGTAATAAAGGCATAATCAATGAAAGTTTCACTAAGGAATGAAGACTTAAGCTGGGCTTTAATGTCAAAGAATTAGTGGAAGGGAAAATAAAATTATTATAAGACAAAACATAAACAAAAGCACAAATCTTCATTGACCACCAACTATGTCCCATAACTGCTGCTTAATTCTAGGAATGTAAACTGGTTAATTTGTCATCTCAGGAAATACAGACAGAAGAGATCTGGAACCAATAAGGAAGATTTCACAGAGGAAATGACATGGGGCTAAGAATTATGTATCACAGCATGGAGGGGGAACAAACGCATAGTCATGCAAAAGAAATTAGTGTAATTATGCCTAAATATCAATAATATTATTTTGCATATTTTCTACTTACCTTCTAAACATAAATATCACTACAACCTTACCAACTAACAAAACTCCACCTCTGAATGTTTTAATATTTCCAAAATAAAAGTATATTTTTCTGTATTTATGTCCATAAAAAAGGTTAATCCAAAAACTGTCAACTTAAAAATGTACATACTCTCTTACCCAGCCACCTCACTGTTTAGGAATTTATCTTAAGGGGGAAGAAAGTACCTACAAAGATATCTGCCCCAGTATTGTTTATAATAGTAAAACACTGAAAAAAATTTTCATATAATTTAATATGAACGGATTGAAAACAAACAAAACACCTAATTTATGTTTACAGTGGAATGCCATGTAACCATTAATATAGAAATATATTTGTTGACATGAAAAGACAGATATTCACAATATAAAGATTAATAATTAACAAAAAAGTTTACCACATACCATGATACAATTTTTATATGAAAAAATATTGGTGTACATGCATACTTAAAAGCTTTTGAAGACAGAATCCAGAGTTCAAACTCCCATTTTTTTTTTTTTAAATCAATCTTTATTGTTCATATTATTACAAAGGTTCCTCATTTCTTCCCCCTTCCAGGTTCCCACCCCACCCTCTGCCCTTTCCCCACCCCAAACTCCCATTTCTAAAACTTTGATGAATTACTTAAATTCTCTAGACTTTAGTTTCTTAATTTCTAAAATGAATAGTTATATTCCAGAATAGAGATTTGAACTTACCAGGATACAATGTAAATTTGTTAAATTGACGACTTCACAGACAGTTTTTATTCTATCTATTAATCTTGCAAAATAGTTGACCATTTCTTCCCTTTTAATTATTTTTGCATATCGAGGGAAGGTAGGTGGAAGTAGCCTCTGGTTAACAAGGGGCTCAAAGCCCATCATAATTGGATGATCTAAAAAGAAGAAAAATGAAATTTTTAATGTTTCTCAGAATTTTAAAACTCAAATACTACTAAAAGTAAAAAAGGCCAGTTTCAAAAACATCTCCAAACAAATTCTAATGACATTATCTAGATTTTATATTTTACAATTAACATATCTATACACACATATTTTAAAGTAGATAAGCATATTTAATAACCTAAAATTTATTTCCTATCTACATGATGTTGGTAGTGATGAGGGGGGCTTCTACCTTCAAGCCAGGAATGGGATAAAATAGGGATAATATAGTCCCTTTTTCTGATAACAACAGTATAAAATTAGAAATGGAAAATCTACAAATATGTGAAAATTAAACAATAACACAGTTCTGAACAACTAATAGGTTAAAGAAGAAATCAAAAGGAAATTAAAAATATATCAAACCAAATGAAAAATTGATACATAACATACCAAAACCTATTTGTTACAAAAGCAGTTGTGACAGAGGAGTTTACAGCAATAAATGCAGATATTACAAATTTTAAATAATTTCAAAAAACAACCTAACTTTATACCCCAAGGAACTATAAAAGAAATTAAGCCCAAAGTTAAAAAGGAAGGAAATATAATGATTAGTGTGGAAATAAATGCAAGAGACCAAAAACACAAAAGAAAATATTAACAAAACCAAGAACTGGTTTACCAGAAAGATAAAAAAAATTTGATAAACCTTTAGCTACACTCTTATATGTCTACTGACTGGAGAACTTAGTTTACATTTAAAGTAACTGTCAATAGGAATAGAAATGCCATTTTCATTTTGTCAATTGTTTCCTGGTTTTGTAATTTTTAAAATTTTGTTCTCTTCCTTTGTTATTTGATAATGTTCAATAGTGGTATGCTTTGATTCTGTTCGTTTTATTTTTTTTTCTATATATCTATAGGCTTTTGCTTTGTTGTTACCATGAGGTTTGCATAAAATACATTTATAATAGTCTATTTTAAATTAATAACTTCAAACACACAAAGATATCCCTACCATTTTATATCTGATGTCATAATTTTCATCTCCCCCTTAAAAATATAGATTTTATTGATTTGAGAGAAGAGAGAGGGAGAGAGAAACATCAAAGATAAGAGAGAATCATTGATCGGCCGCTTCCTGCATGCCCTCCTACTGGGGATGGAGCCCACAAACGGGGCATGTGCCTTTGACAAGAATTGAATCCGGGACCCTTCAGTCCATAGTTAACGCTCTATCCCCTGAGCAAAACCAACTAGGGCACAATCTGCATCTTTTACACTGTATATCTATTAACAAATTATTATTTTTTAAATATGTATTTTATTGATTTTTACAGAAAAGAAGGGAGAGAGGGATAGACAAAAACATTGAGAGAAACATCGTTCAGCTGCCTTCTGCACACCTCCTACTAGGGATGTACCCGCAACAAAGGTACATGCCCTTGACTGGAACTAAACCCAGGACCTTTCACTCTACAGGCGGACGGTCTATCCACTGAGCCAAACCAGTTAGGACTGTCAAATTATTTTAAATACTTTTTTATCTTTTAACCTTTCAGACAAAAATTTTAAGTTGAACCCTAACCGGTTTGGCTCAGTGGATAGAGAATCGGCCTGTGGACTGAAAGGTCCCAGGTTCGATTCCGGTCAAGGGGATATGTACCTTGGTTGCAGGCACATCCCCAGTAGGAGGTGCGTAGGAGGTAACTGATCGATGTTTCTCTCTGATGAGATGTTTCTCTCTGATCGATGTTTCTAATTCTCTATCCCTGATTGAGATGTTTCTCTCTGATCGATGTTTCTAATTCTCTATCTGATGAGATGTTTCTCTCTGATCGATGTTTCTAATTCTCTATCCCTCTCCCTTCCTCTCTGTAAAAAATCAATAAAATATATTAAAAAATGAAAAAAAAATTTAAGTCATTTATCCACCACCATTAGAGTATTCTGAACGAAACTAGTTGGCCCTTGGTATCTACAGGTTTTATATCCATGGATTCAACCAAACAGATCAAAAACAGGATTCAATCTGCACTTTGGAATCTGCAGATACAAGTTGACTGTATGCATTGTTCTATGCTATTTTATATGTGTATCCATGGAGGATCCTGGAACCAATCCCTTGCTGATACAGAGGGATGGCTGTGTATATTTACTTTTAACAGTTTTGTACTTTTCTATGTTTTCAGCCCAGCCCAAGCTTCCTCTCAAACTTCTGTGATTGTCCATACCTCCTCTTCAGTTCTTAGAAGTAGCTGAGATTGTGCCAACACCCATCAGTGTCCCAGAGTCGGCATCTACATGTAGGCCAATTAGAAGCTAAATCCTCAGGTAGCAGCTGGAGAAGTATATAGTTAAGCCCATTTCCAGGCAGTAACTGGGAGATGGGCATTTTTGTTCAATTCTTCTGGGTGTATACCACGGGGAAGGGTGCTCCCACACCTGCTAACAACTGTTTTTTTGTTTTATAGTCAAGTGGGGTTCTTCAAAGCAAGCGCAGTTGGTTAGTTGGGCCAGATGATTGAGGGCTCATCCAATGACTGACAGCTGCAAAAGCTTGAGCACAGCTGTGTGCAAGCTTCTTTCTGGGAGATACTGGTAACTGGGTTTTATTATTGCAAACAAGTTGGAGAAGTTGGGAAAGATGCCTGCTGGTTTTCCCAGTCTCAGGAAGATCTGACCTAGGCCCTACAAGTCCGCTAAATGGAAGCCTGATCCTCAGGCAGCAACTCTTCCAGTATGCAGGAGAAACAGGGAGGAAACCTCTGTTTCTAAACAGAATTTAAACTAGTTCACACGTCATTAGCATAATTATCATCCTAATTTTCTGAGGTACCTGGTATATAAAAATGGGGCTCTTGAGTGAATCCATAGTACAAACTGCTGTTCTTGACTTTCCTTATCAGTGGCTAAGAATTCAGTTATTTGAGATCAGCTAGATCAATGTCCTTTGTTTTCCAGCTTCTAAAATTTTGTTGCTATTGTCTCCTTTCCCTGTTTATTCTTCTTTATTGAATAAGCCTGGTTGGGTCATGAAAGACTTTGTAATGGAAGTGATGATCTCTTAAAGAAGTAAAAAGGAGAGGTGACTAAAAAAAATGTATTGCTGACATCACAGCATGGTCACCAGACAGGGAAAATACTCAGAGCACTAACAGGAAGATACAAAGAAGGGAGCATAAATACTTTATAAGTCTATGGAGCAAAACATTCCAAGGCCCAGAGAGACTTAATTAAATAAAATTTTAGCGAACATCCATATGACCCAAAGCAATCTGGATGGGAAAGAATGAAAAGAGTAGGAGCAAAAACAGACAATTACCTCCTTTTGTAGTATCATTCTGGGCCTGGATGCCATGATGCAATGAATTATGAATGACAGAAAGAAGATCTGCTGCTTGAACCATCAATTTTTGAGCTTCTGCAACAGCACTGGTCTAGCAAATAAATCACCAAAAACATTCTTACATATTCTTTCACTGAAAGATATACATTGGATAGGAAAATCCTATAAACAATAGTGAAATCAAGTGCTTGCTGTAATGACATTGGTTTTCATGAACTATTCACTTAATACAGGATGTCCAGATCCTGTTAGGATAGAAATTATTTTTTATAATTTTGTAAGAGCCATTAAAAAACAATAGAAAACATTTCTGGTTTATTCTATTAATATTTTGTTTAAAAAGAGAGATGTAGCCAACTGGAAAATTTCAACTCTGTCACTCATCAAGGTGAAATATAAAAATAAAAACAGAAAAAAATAAAATTGCAAAAGTTAGAACACTGGTAAAAGTTGGCCTTTTACTCACCACTTATTAACTATTCACTAATTTTCCTGTAATTGAGATACACACACACACACACACAATCACCATCTTGGGCTTGCATCTACACAAATCTAACAGCTTTTTCTGAATGAAAGAGGACATCTTAAAATTAACATTAAATATATATATATGTATAAATATATGTGTATAAATAAAAAAATGTGTGTGTGTGTGTGTGTATATATATATATATATATATATATATATATATATATATTGATTTTTTACAGAGAGGAAGAGAGAGGGATAGAGAGTTAGGAACATTGTTGAGAGAATCATCGATCAGCTGCCTCTTCCACACCCCCTACTGGGGATATGCCCGCAATCAAGGTACATGCCCGTAATGGAATCGAACCTGGGACCCTTCAGTCCGCAGGCCAATGCTCTATCCACTGAGCCAAATCGCTTTCGGCTAAAATTCTCATTTTTACCTTCTCCTCTCAATTCACAAATCTGACTCCTATTTTTATATCAACAACAGATATGCATATGTTATGGAGCAAAATGTAAAATTCATATGATTTTTGAGAAAATCATCAGGGCTACTCTGGTGTAAATGTACAAATGTTCAGTGCTGTACATGTGCAAATGGGTAATATCAATGAAAAAGTCTCAGAACTACTTCAATAAAGCATTCTATCAAAACAAAACAAAACAAAACAAAACAAAACTATATACCACTAAATAGACAGATGATAGTAAATGCCCTTACCTCTTTCTTAGTAAAGGCTATAAGCACTGTCAGTAACACTCGAATAAATTTCATCCTGCTGAATACTGCTAAACACTGTTGGTGCTAAAAAAAGAAAAAATATATATATGAACTAGAAGTTAAAAGATGCAAAGTCTGTCAAAAGAATTTCATTTTAAAATATATTTTAAGTCCTAAATCTCAGTGTTAATAACTTAACTACATTACAAAAACCTTCACTCAGTCTTTAAATGCCCGAAAATTAGAGCTGCAGGAAACATAGCAAAGCTTACTCTATTGAAATAGAAAGCTTCTGTATCAAAAGGACTGATTTTTCCTTAAGACAAAAGTTACACTATCATCTCAAAATTGATTTAATAATAAATTAAAAAGGATTGTGAAAAAACTACTTTAAGCAGAGTCAGAAAATTTATGGCCTCAACTAAGGTTTGGCAACTTTTGATTATATGCAAGTTCTTGACTTTTGCCAGGTTTTGATGTGTCATCTGTAAAAAGTCATTTTTTCTTCCTTTCTCAAAGGAATATTGAAGATTCAGTTTTGAAATCATGTATGTGAAAGAGATGTATTATCATTCTATCAAAATAAATACAAGGGAAATAAAATCCCTTGCAATGTCCAATTTGTAAAGAAATACCTTAAAAGGGCTCCCACAAATTATAACACATAAAACTATAACATTAAGAGGTTGATTTCTCTGATACTATCTACCAGAAAATAAGTTCAATTACTTCTAGTTCAACTTCTGGATCTCTTTCTTCTCCTTGTCGACTTCGAGTACTCTAAAATTTTAAGAAAGGTGAATTAAAAAAAATACAAGCTTATAGAAGCATTAAATAAAGTCAAAGCACTAAATTAGTTTAATGTAAGAATCCATTTTTAAGAAAAATATCTGAGAGGGAAAATAAGCTGTTCTTAGTATTTATTTCCTCCTATTAATACTATATTTAAAAAGTTAAGTTTTACAAAGATCATACAAAAGAGTAAGGTATTAAAAGCAGCAAAAGCAGAACAGTAAAATAATATAAATAATAGCACATGGTACTTCTTTCTTTTAAAAAATCTATTCTTTGAAATTCTAGATGCTTTCAAAACTAGCCCTATTGGAAAAAAAGTAATATTTACAAAACATCATCATAAAAATAAAGTCACATAGTGAATACTGATCTGTTCTGCACTAAAATGCAAGCCATCTTGTTAATACATGAGTAATATATGGTTAACTGTTTTGACAAAATTCTAGGAAGATCTTGTAAAAGAGCTGGTTTCTAGCAGTGGAGCTCCTAGTGACTAGTAGCATGCCCTAGTGGAGCTCCTAGTGACTAGTAGCATGCCCTATTAAACTCATTTGAACTGTATTTTCTAAATGTGGGGCACTGTGTGCATTTTATTGTCTAATTCAATAAATAAATGTGAATATCAAATAAAACAACAATGTAAAATTGCTTTGATAACTATGCTGTGTTATACAAGTGGAAAAAAATAGTAGAAATATTAAGTTTTTCCCTTTTTTAATCTCTATGAGACTCAAGTCATCAAGGTCATTTGGCTGAAGGATGCCATTCATAGAAGGTTTGGGATACCATCATTTACTGAGTTTTTCCTCTGTGTTGTAGACACTCTCCTAACTATTAAGGGTACCAAGATGAATATAGTCCTCATGTTGGAGGAATTTCCAATTCTACACATATGCTACTCTTAAAATAGCATACAAAAATTCTAAAAAATTGGCCCAAAATTAAAAAATTGAGAGGGTTTATTTTTCAATACTTGAAAGTGACATTAACTTATCAGAAGTTCCTATAACAGCCTTTAAACTCATTACCAAAAGGCACAGCATATACAAAGGAAGTTGACAGCCTATCTACAACAGTTATTTATACTTAAAGTAAATCTGACATTTAGAAATTAAGGAAAAAATCCTAGATCAAAGAGAAAGAGAGAGAAAGAGAGAGAGAAAGAAATATATATATACCTTTACTCTTCTTTGCAAGTCATCCTCCACATCCTTTAGCATGCCTAGAAAGAAACACAATGGGGTTAAGAAAGAAACAAATCTAAAGAATACACTTGTGAATTATCTTTATAGATGGTGTTACCTGTAACTCGAAGATCCGTCACACTGTTAGCCATTTTAAATCCGTAAGTCATTGACTGAAAATCTTCCTATACAAAAAAATAATTAGGTCCTTGAGTAGTAGCAAAACCTTTCCTTATATTTATCTTACAAAATCACTATTTGCTAGTAAGAAAACAGTAATGGAATGTCAAGCCTGCTTATCTTAATATTGCTATCAAACTTCCAAGCTTTTCTTATTCTTGTAGCCTTAAAAATCCATATTCTAAGACTCTCCATGTCCTTAATTTCAACTGCTTATTCTTTTTTTTTTTTTTTTAATATATTTTATTGATTTTACACAGAGAGGAATTGAGAGGGACAGAGAGTTAGAAACGTCGATGACAGAGAAACATCGACCAGCTGCCTCTTGCACACCCCCCACTGGGGATGTGCCCGCAACCAAGGTACATGCCCTTGACCGGAATCGAACCCGGGACCCTTCAGTCCGCAGGCCGAGCTCTATCCACTGAGCCAAACCGGTCTGGCATCAACTGCTTATTCTTAAGCAATTTAAATATACTTGCATTTAATAGGTTCATTTGCAAAATAAAGCCAATAGCCCTAACTGGTTTGGCTCAGTGGATAGAGTGTGGGCCTGCGGATTCAAGGGTCCCAGGTTCAATTCAGTCAAGGCCATGAACCTTGGTTCCAGGCACATCCCCAGTAGGGGTGTGCAGGAGGCAGCTGATCGATGTTTCTCTCTCATTGATGTTTCTAACTCTCTATCCCCATCCCTTCTTCTCTGTAAAAAAAAAAAAAAAAAAAAAAAAAAATCAGTAAAATATATTTTAAAAAATAAGGCTAATGCTTATGATATTACAAGGCAATTCCTATTTACAAAGCATTTTCAAATTCACAGGTGAATAGTAAATATGTAGTAATTACTGTTTGATTATAAGATTGTAAGATTTAAATAAGATTCTTATTTCAAAAGCCTGTTTCACTGTTAGGATAACAAAGATTAAGCCTTACTCAAAGTGATAGTAAAACCACATTCCCCCTTTAGCCCCATTCCAAAGAAAAATTATTCACACATGGATTCCCATCCCAAGAATAATTTAAAATACTGAGACATTAAAAAATTAAGTGGCTTGCTGACGTGCATTGAAGACCCTCCCAATTGGCCCCGATTTGGGGGTGGTGGTGGTTGACAACCTCCCACAGCCCCTCCCCCTTGTCAGTCAGCCCCCCAATGGCCTTGATGCGGGGGGGGGGGGGGGGTGTCAGCCAGCCAACCTCCCAAAGCCCTTCCCTTCCCCTGGCGGGCCCCCTGCACCATAGGCCCCAATCGCCAGCCAGGCTGAGGGACCCTACCCATGAATGAATTCGTGCACCAAGCCTCTAGTTATAAATATAAGATGCCATGGGGTCAAGGGAACTGGTGTTTTGTCATTCATTCATTCATTCATTCATTCATTCTTTCTTTCTTTCTTTCATTCATCTATTCGTCCATCCATCCATCCTCACCAAAGGATATGTTCTTACTGATTTTATAGAGGAAGCAAAGAGAAAGAGAGAAACATCAATGTGAGAGAAAATGTTGATTGGTTGCCTCTCAAATGCACCCCGACCAGGGAATTGAACCTGCAACCTAGGTATGTACCTTGACCAGAAATTGAACCTGTAACTTTTTGATGAACAGGACAGCACTCCAATCAACTGAACCACCCGGCCAGGACTGATGTCCTGTTTTAAATTAAGTGATAGTAAAACATGTGTATATGCCAATAAGTAGTGAAGGAAACACTAACCAATGCGATACAAAGAAAGGATTAATAACTACAGTAGGCAAGAGGGAATAGAATTGAGAATGCTAGTGGAAGAACTGAGTTAGACTGTCACAGGAATACTTTCAATTTCAACAAGATAGAAGGCAGAGTATATGGGAATCAACACAGGTTAGCACTTGTAATAGTGAGAGATAGGGTACTTCTAATTCTACTGGATTCCAACTAATATTTCATTACAGTACAAAGCAAGCTGATAAAGAAGGGTTGGCATTAGAGGTGTGAGAGGAAATGATGTGGAAAAGTCACCTTGGAGACTGGAAAAGCAAGTTCATTATAGAAGTGTTATGGGGTAGGACTGTTGCTAGTGTTGAGGGCCCATGTGAGATTTGTAATCCTAAAATTAAAGTGAGAACTAGACACACAGATATGGATTTTCTCAAGCAGCCTTCTGCTGGTTTTACCAGATAAATAACACATTATGATGAAATGAGAGCACTGGTTCAGGGAAATGAGGACACGAGGAAAGTAAAAGAAAAATAAAGTAAAAGCAAACATAAATTGAAGGTTTCCATAGAACTGAAGGATAATGGGAGTAGGGAGATCAGAGTAAATAAGAGAGTAAGTGGAAGCAATCAAGATTTTTGGAGGTAAATAGATTAGTATGGGTGGACCATACCATTATTAGTCAAACTGGTATAATGTTCAGAGTAGAAGAGGATGCTATTAATAATCACACCAGAACAAAAGCTGTCAAGTAGGACTGTTCCATGCTAACCAATACCTACAGATACTAGCTATCACAGAAGAATGTGCTGAGGAAGGGTAGAGAAAAAACTAAAATCTGAGCAAGTCAGGAAAGTGGGATTCAAGTTTAAAGATAAGCAGGACTGCCTTAGCTGGTTTGGCTCAGCAGTTAGAGCATGTTGACCCAAGGACTAAAGGGTCCTGGGTTCGATACTAATCAAGAGCACATACCTACAGTTCCAGGCTCGATCCCTGGCCCTGCTTAGGGCACATGTGGGAGGCAACCAATCAATGCATTGATGTTTCTCTGTTTCTCTTTCTCTCTCTCTCTCTCTCTCTCTCTCTCTCTCTCTCTCTCTCTCTCTCTCTCTCTCTCTCTCTCTCTCTCTCTCTCCCCCACCCCTCTGCTCTCCGTCCTTCTCTCCACCCCTCCCTTCCACAGTTTCTAAAAATCAATGGGAAAAAGCATATCCTTGAAGGAGGATTAACAACAGCAAAAGATAAGAAGGACTTTGCCCTGAAAAGGTTAGTAAAGGAGAAAAGGCGTAAGGAGAACCAGAGGGAAATGTAATTATGTATGACGAAGGTTCAAGTATATGCAGTGGCTGGCTTTAAAGATGGAAATGCAGGAGGCTTCCAGAAGAGGCAAAAGGCAAGAAAACAGACCATTCGCTAGAGCTTCTGGAAAGGGACATAGCCCTCTAGTACCTTGATTTTGGCCCTGTGAAACTTTTGTGACACTTGTGCCCTCCAGAACTCTTCCTCTGCAACCATGCCTATCAAACCCAACATACGTATCAGATTGAGAAATTTGATAGCTGAAATTGAAGACAGAAGAAACACAAGAGAAAAATCCACTGCCTTCAAAAGATACCATTGAACAGGGGAAGCAAACAGGCAAATCATAATGAGACACAAACTGCAAATATGCACAAACCACCAATATGTACCACATATTCTACAAGCACTGCCTTCTTATTTTAGCTGTTTAACTTTGTAAGATGTGAAGAGGTTGGATCAGTTTAAATGACTCCTGTCCCTTTTCACATCAAAGAACTACTGTCAATGAAGGCTGCACCTGCCTCTCCCATCTGTCTGTCTGGCAGGCAGGGAAGGAAAAGAACTTCTTGCATGTTGGTGAAGGAAGAAGCTGGGTGAGATGACAGTGAAATCTAAAGTAAAAACCACGCTAATCCAAGGTGTTCTATTATACAGTCTGTAAAATGCAGTTTAATCAGAGTGCCTTTTTGTTGTTGTTATAATGATTTTAATTATTAGAATGAACAATTTAAAAAATATGGGTATAAAGTTTTAAAACTTGAAAAGAGAGCGAGAGAGAGCATTAAGAGTCAGAAGAGACATTCTGTGCACAAGCATGAAATGATGGATGAGAATAATATTAGGATCAGCTGAACAATAATATGCCAGGGGGAGAAAAACAAAAATGAGAAAGAAAATGTAGGCATACACAAGTTTGGCTCATCTATCATTAATATTTATATAATCATACTAATATCAGCAATAAATAATAATTTAACCAAACACTGAAATCCTATTTAAGGTAAGGGAGGGGATAATGTATGAATGCTAAACACCTGCTAAAGATGTACTGATATGCCATTGCTAAAAACAGTTAAGTCCTTAAATCCAGAAATTAGAATATAAGCCTATTACCCAGAAATATGGAAATAAATAGGAAAAAGCGAAAATAATATGACAGAATGGTTAAGAAAGAGCAGAGAACCACAATTTTTCACTATAAGATTTGTGGGCTATTTGACTATGTGCAAATATTATTACTTTTATTAAACCACATACACCAGGAGAAAATTTTATATAGCAAAACTGAACATGACCAAATTACCTACTTTTAAGAGGGTCAAGTAGAGAATGAACTAGAGGGAAAGACCAGGCCAGAAAGAAGAATTCTGCCTAAACCTAAAACTAACAAAGGCATGAACTAAAGCAGGAACAAAGAAAAACAGTGCCCAGATTCAAGGTATCTGCAAGATAAAAAAAGAACCTGGATATAGAAGGCTAAAAAATATATATATATCAAAGATAACATTCTAGATACCATTTTGCAAGATACAGAATGCAAGAGGAAAAGTGGTCTAATGGGGGAGGAGGAAGAGGAATTACAGTTCCCATTTTGAATGTGTGAGCAAGGTATTAAGAAACATTTTTAGGCAGCTTGAAAATGTATCCACTTCAGGAGTTAAAATAAAACAGACATAATCCAAGAACAAAATACACACAGGAACTTCAGAAATATTATTTCAAACAAAGAAATTATTATGTCATTCTTATTTATTCATTACCAAATATTTTAAAAAATATCTTTATTGTTTAAATTATTACAGATGCCCCCCTTTTTTTCTGTTCATTACCATATCTCTTAAGGACTTTTATTAAGTAATCTTTTTTTTTTATTCCTAATTATAAAACATAAATTTATCTGGAAAATTGGCCAAGTTTGGAGGAAACAATGACCATTCATATCATACACACACAGTATGTGAGTGCCTGTTTTCCCATCCTCATCAACATGGAGTATTATTTAAAAAAAACCTTGTAATCTTTGCCAATAATGGGTTAAAAAATGGTATCTCACCAATAATGGGTTAAAAAATGGTATCTCACACTTATAATTTGTATTTCTCTTAAGTAAGGTCTTATGTATAAAGGCCATTTTACTTTGTGAACTATCTTCTTTATTTTAAAAAACTTTTTAACACTTAAAACATTTCATCTATCTGCAATTTATTTTGATGTTGTTAACAGCCTTCCCACTAACCCCACCCAAATCTATTATGTTAAGTCCTAAACCCCAAAGTGATGATGGTATTATGATCTGGGGCCTTTGAGAGGTGATTAGGTCACAAGGGCAGGGGCCTCATGAACGGGATTACTGTCATTCATCATAAGAAGGACCCCTGAGAGCTCCCTCTTCTCTTCTACCATGTGGACAGTGTAAAATAAAGATGGCTTTATTTGAACCAGGAAGCATGCACTCACCAGACACTGATCTTGGATGATTTAGTGAGAAATAAATTTCTGTTGTTTAAAAGCCAACTAGTCTATGGTATTTTTTTTTTTAAATATACTTTATTGATTTTGTACAGAGAGGAAGGGAGAGAGATAGATGTTAGAAACATCGATGAGAGAGATTCATCAATCAGCTGCCTCTTGCACACCCCCTACTGGGGATATGCCTGCAACCAAGGTACATGCCCTTGACCAGAATCGAACCCAGGACCTTTCAGTCCTCAAGCCAAACCGGTTTCGGCTATGGTATTGTTACAGCAGCCCAAGATGACTAAGGCAGATGTAAAATGGTAAGTTAATTTTCAAGACTGATAATCAATTATTCCAATACAATTTTTTCAAATGAATCATTTCTCTGCCTCACTGACTTCCAATGTCCTTTGAGAATGTAACTATTTAAAATAATTTATATTTCTCTTCTCACTTATTAATTAACTTAAACTAATATTTTAAATAATTGTACCTGATGGATTAGATTTTCCATGACACCCATGTCAATTCAAATATGTAGCTAAATAAACAATGAGTACATAAAAAGTAGACAGTTATTTCATAGACAACACACAGCCATACATTTAAATGTGGACAATCATGTTAGGTATATATTTAATTATTAGAGGTCTGGTACACAAAATCTATGCATAGCAGGGGTGGTCCCTCAGCCTGGCCTGCACCCTCTCCAATCCGGGACACCCCTCTTGCAATTCGGGACTGCCGTCTCCTAACTGCACACCTGCCTGCCTACCTGCCTGATTGACCCTAACCACTTCTGCCAGCCTGACTGTTCCCTTGCCAGCCTGCTGGACCCCAGCTGCCCTGCCAGCCTGATGGCCCCCAACTGCCCTCCCCTGACAGCGTGATCGCCCCTACCGCCTCTGCCTCGGTCCCTAAGACTGTGGCATTGTCTGGAAGGAAGTTGGATATTTGGAAGATGGCCAGCTGACTTGGTCTAGTTAGCATATTACCCTTTTATTAGTATAGAATTCTTACATACATAACATTATTCAGAAAAGCTTTACAGACTATACACTGGACTACTGTAGGAGCCTAAGATATTTATTTTGGATCAACAGCATTAAAAAGAAAGTTACCAGCTTCAACAAAGGGAAAAATTAAATAATCATCTATATAATAAAAGCCTAAGTGACTGTTACAGCGGAACAGCCAGAACGACCAGTCGCTAGCATGAGCACTGACCATGAGGGGGCGTTGTCCTTTGGTGGTCAGTGCACCACACAAGGGGAGCGCCGCTCCGCCTGAATCCGTGCTCACTGCTGGCGAGTGCAGCAGCAGTGGGAGCCTCTCCTGCCTTCGTGGCAGTGCTAAGGAGAAGCAAGGTGAGCAGTGAGGTGCAGCGAGCAGGCAGGTGGTAAGGAGAGAGGGGTTCTGGACTGAGAGAGGGTGCAGGCCAGGCTGAGAGACATCCGCCCCCCCCGCACAAATTTCATGTACCGAGCCTCTAGTTTATTAATAATCTCAAATGCTATCACATTTCCCCTTAAAATTATCAGCATCTGAAATCTTATTTTCTTTTTCTTTTTTTTTTTAAAGATATATGTTATTGATTTTTTACAGAGAGGAAGAGGGATAGAGTCAGAAACATTGATGAGAGAGAAACATTGACCAACTGCCTCTTGCACACCCCCTACCGGGGATGTGCCCGCAACCAAGGTACAATACATGCCCTTGACTGGAATCGAACCTGGGACCTTTCAGTCCACAGGCAGACGCTCTATCCACTGAGCCAAACCGGTTTCGGTATGAAATCTTATTTTCTATAAGGATAAAAAAATAACCTCAGAACACTTCCCCAGGGCAAGTATAAACTTTAAGAAAATGTTTATACTCTAAAACAGCAATTTTCAACCAACATGCCACAATAATTTTTAAATCATGCAATATCTGACTATTTAGTCAGGGGCACTTACCTCTTTTCCCTTAGATTGTCAAATAAAAAAAAAGATAACAGCCAATACAACATTAGCTGTCTGGTGTGAATGACTCAAAATTATACCTTTTTTTTGGTCAGATGGGCAGAAAAATTCTACTTTTTGTGGTGTGCCTCAGAATTAGTTCATGTGTGCCACGAGATGAAAAAGATTGAAAATCACTGCCCTAAAATATTCCTCATATTCTTGTTTTCTTTAGTTCCCTCTCAACCAAAGACTGAAAGTAAAGCACTCTTATGTTATAGTTTGTAAGAGACTTGAGGGCAGAAGCTGACTCTTTTATTTTCTTTGTGAATCATCACAATAGCCAGAACAAAGTACTCTGCACATAATGGATACTCAACGAATGATACTGACAGAAAGAACATACACTAGAATGAAAGTACTTTCTTAGAACTGGATTATTTTAGCCAATATATATGTAAATAGCAACAGCACTAGTTTTAAAAATTGTTTTTATCTATACATGTTACAAAAATATGTATTATATAATCATTTAAATACATTACAGTGAATAAACTTTGCATTATTTAAATTGCAAATAATGGGTTAAAAATGGTATATCTTGAAGCTTATTCACTATTACAAATTTACATGATTATATGATACATATTTTTATAACATGTATAGATAAAAACAATTTTTAAAACTAGTGCTGTTGCTATTTACATATATATTGGCTAAAATAATCCAGACAAATGGCAGGGGAGAGGAGTGGTTAGAGAGCAACCAAAGGACTTGTATGCATGCATATAAGCATAATCAATGGACACAGACACTGAGGCGGCTGGGGTTTGCCCAGGGTGGGAATGGCTGGGGGGGGGGGGGGGGGTGTAGTCAAGCGGGGGGGGGGAAAAAGAGACCTATGTAAAACTTTAGACAATAAACTATTTTAAAAATGGCATCTCACACTTAAAATTACAAAATCTTACCTCTTCAAAAACAGCAGCTTTATTTACTTTTTCCCTTGCAATGTCACAGATTTTCAAGATTCCGAGAGCAAAAGCTTTCATGGCAGGATCTTCTATAAAGTCTGGATTATGAACGTAAAGACATGTAAAGACTGTCTGTGCCATGGAGTGGCCTTCTAACCATGTTATCTATAAAGAAGTAAAAGAATATATATGTTTAAAGTGACAAAGAGCCAACAGTCAAAGACCAAAGTACCACAGACCGAAGTAAATATAATATTAATAACAGGATTTAAAAGGTGATTAAAGGGAAGGTCAGGAAAAACAAAAAAGTTAGAATTCAAGAGTCATATGCCATAAATATGGTTAGCTAAAATATATAAATATGGGAAGCATCCTATTGAAATATATAGTGAAAGGGTAATATGAAAATAGACCAAATGGCAGAACTGAACAACCAATCAAAGCATAATATGCTAATGATATGCTAAGGCTGCTCAACCACTCTGATATGCACTGACCACCAGGGGGCAGACACTCAACTGGTTGACTGGTCAGTCGCTATGATGTACACTAAACACCAGGGGCCAGATGCTCCAACTGGAAGGTTAGCTTGCTGCTGGGGTCTGGCCAATTGGGACTGAGCGAGATGGTCGGGACATGCTCTGGAGCCCTCCTGCAGTCCTTCCCCAGCCTGACTGTGCACCAGTAGGGTCCTTCAGCCTGGCCTGTGCCCTCTTGCAATCTCAGGGGATGTTGGAGAGCCGGTTTCAGCCCAATCCTGCAGGCCACTCCTCTTGGAGGGCACCAGACGTAGGGCTCAGGACTGATTTGGTGTGGGCCTGCAGTAGGCACAGTGGGGCCAGGATGAGCGGGAGCAGAAGTAAGAGCTGCAGGCAGTGTTGAAATGAGGGTTTCAGCCTGATCCCTGAAGGCCACCCAGAGGGACCCCACCCATGCACAAATTCGTGCACCAGATCTCTAGTTCTTATATATAATTCAGTTTGCAATATACTTGGAGACTAATTAAATTAAGTGCCTCCAAATATAGTAATCAATTCCCCATTCAGTCAGTAAAAATCCATAAACTATGGAATTTACAATTTTAGAACTAGGTCCCAACCCACTCATCCAACTCTTCTTATCTCACCTAGCATTACCCCAAGAAACATACAATGATTTTATTGCCCATCTCTAATTCAATACCCCCAACGAGATGCATCTTTCTAAAACACAAAAATAATCATTCAACACTATTTTATTGAGTAGTTAAAATGGGCCAGGGACCAGGTGCTCAAACCTGGGAATATCTATAGCAGCCAAAACTGAGTAACTATTATGCCCCAAGGGTTATGCTAGGTATTTTTATATACTCTACCTCATATTTCCTAATACTCTGAGGAGAGTGATATTTTTCTCCTTTTACATATAAAGAAACAAAGACTCAAAGAGTATAAATAACTTTATCCAAGTTTTATATAGTTACTAGTGGCCTGGTGCATGAAATTCATGAATGGCGTCCCTCATCCCAGCTAATATGGGATCCGTCAGGGATTGGGCCTAAACTGGCAGTTGGACAACCCTCTCACAATCCAGGACTACTGGCTCGTGTCACCTGCCTGCCTGATTTACCTTAACTGTTCTGCCTACAGGCCTGCTCGCCCCCAATAGCTCCCCGCCGGCCTTTTTGCCCCCAATTGCCCCCCCTTGCCAGCCTGCTTGCTCCCAACTGACCACCTGTGCTGACCTGCTCGCCCCCAATTGCCTCTGCCTCAGCCCCACCACCATGGCTTTGTCCAGAAGGACATCTGGAAGGTCTCCTGGTCTAATTAGCATATTATCCTTTATTAGTATAGATATTTTACATTAAGCCCAAGAATTCTGCAATAGAGCAAGACATATAGTGCTGCATTGCAAAATGAGAAATGCACATGAAAATTACTAGAATTAAGGTATGTATTTTATATTACCAGTATGCAGAAGATTTTCCAGACTAAAAACCACCTGCCTAGTAAAAGCCAAACTCTCCCAAGAATCTCATACAAATAATGGCTGCTCAACTTTGGCAAAAATCCTTCCTCTTGCCTCCATTTGTCCTATTCCACTGGGACTATAAACTGCTAAAGAGTAAGAAAGACATATATGAAGGAAACAGCTTTGGGGGAAGAAAGGTCAGGATCAAGACTCTGGTTATGCCCCTTCCTAGCAATGTAATCCTAGGCAAATAAGATTATACCATATATTGAATAGAGCTGATATAAGACTTAAATGAAAAAATATAGAAGTACTACACACTGGCAATCAATACTTACTAAATGACCAATGGATAAAATTTACATATTTCTAAGACAATAATTTAAAAATTTAAAAAGGGTGGTTAGAAAGTAGGCAAAAAAAGGAAAAAAAGAAAGCAGTACAAATGAGAATTTTGCCACAATTAACCAATATTGTTTAGGGAAGACAACTTATCCAGCATATAGAAAGCACTACAAAATTTTCTTCATTTTTTAAAACATGGCCAGTTTAGTACAATTCACTCTAGATTAGGAAAAACATCTCTCCAAAGCCAATCTAAAAGTGTTTGTTTCAATTCTATGCTTCTTTATGGAAGCTTCCAATTGCAGATTTGTTTCCCTGGGTACCTTGAGAACAAAAAGGGTACTTAGGGTAATAGCTACACAATTATCTTCACTAGAAAGAAAATATCCCCTTTTCTAGAAACTGAGAACTTAAATTATCAGAGTAGTAAATAAAATGCTATTTCCTATAGTATAACGTGGCCTGTTAATCTGCTGTACTCCTTACTAGGTTAAGCATTACATATATTTCATACTCAACATCAGTATACTTTTAAAGATTCAGGTAAGTCATAATTTTAAAATTAACCAATAGTGTTATTTTGATTCTTACCAAACAGCAAAAACACGTATCCATTATTCCTATCAATTCAGGCAAGGTGAGGTCTTTAATTTTAATGGTGCCTTCCTAAAAAAGGAGGGGAAATATGACACATAAACAGAAGTTTTCAAAATTATGTTCAGTGGCATTTTGCAAATGCTATATCAAATCCATGCATCTTGGCTTTCAAAAATTAAGTATTTAAAAATAGCAATTCTAAGAACACTGTATCTCACCATCTGATAAAATTAGGATGCCAAATTAACTCTGTATTCTTAAAAATAATGTATCTGAAATAGGTCTTCAGTAAGAAAAATCCAAGCTTCTTTCATTTGAAACAGAATAAAGGCCTTTATAAAGAACTGAATGAAAAACCAAACTAACAAGTATTTTAAAAGCAGTTCAAGTATTAACATGAATAATTTTAATGAATGAAAATTTATGAATGAAATATTTAAAAAAATACTTCCCTTAAGTTGGTTAACTATATACTACTTATAAATTTTGTTTACAATATCCATTTGCATTTTTTAAATAAAATATGCAAAATTAAACTCTGTGGTAACTATGAATGAATTTCTAAATCAATTCTTAAATGAGTAAATTTCAAATTCACTGTCACAAGCATTTTAGCTAACAAATACTAGATAAGTAATGGGTTCGATTCCTGATCGGAGGAAGTACGGGAGGCAACTGATCGATATTTCTCCCATTGATGTTTCCCTCTCTCTTCATTCTTTCCCTCTAAAAATAAAAATAAAAAAACACACCCATATCCTCAAGGATTAAAAATATATATAATAAAAAATAATAAGTATATTAATGGATAAAATTTAATCCTTAAACCAATTACCCTGGTATTTGAATATATACTCGAATGCTTTAAAAAATCAATTTTTATAATGCACACACAAAATTATAGCAAACTTTTAATGAAGATCTTAAATAATTTTCAGATTTCAATAGAAAGAGATAATTAAAGGTTATAAATAACTCTTATTTATATATCTGATACTCTTAGAAAATTATACTTTAAGTAGTATACTAAGTTTCATTTCCATTACTAATAAAAATGTTTTAAAATATGAATAATAAAACACAAAAACCACAATGATGACTACCTGGATAGCTTGTTCAAAATTGAGAACTTTTCGATTAACTTGGTTTCCAATCATGCCAGCATCCATCTTGGGATCCATCATTTCAATGGCAGACATGGCTTCAAAAAGACCAAATCTACAAATAAAAAAATTGACCCCACAAATTGTTTCTGAACTAGTAAACTTATCCAGATCTCCACAATGGTAAAAAATTATAATAGTATTTAAAATAACTTCATTATTTTATGTATTTAATATTTAAATCTTTCCAACTTGCTAACACTTCTACTTCACTTAAATAGCCTTCCTTTAACACAAAAATTCTTCCATGTATTTGTCAATGAAATTATTTTACATGCACTGTGGAGGAAAAAACAAAGATGACTTTTGCACTTCTTTCAATAGGTATTAGAAATTTTTGAAAAAGACATCAACTGATCTATAATAGATTCCAGTTTGCCTTCTTTTTTTTTTTTTTTCCAACTTTATTATTGTTGGGTTTTTCTTTCAGCACTATGAACTTGAAAAAAAGTGAAACTAAGTTTTATAAATTAGTAGTCACATTTAATATTTGGACCACGTTTTAGTCTTGTGTGCTCAAAACACTAGAGCAGCAATGACCAACAGAAATATAATGTGAGCCACATAGATAATTATAACTTTCCTAGTAGCCACACAAAAAAAGTAAAAAGATAAAATTGACTCTAATAATATTTTATTTAACTCAATATGTCTAAAAGTTTTATTTTAATTGATCCTTAGTATTGAAAATTATTAGTGAGATATTTTGCATTATTTTTTTCCATATTAAGCTTTTTATTCTAATGCATATATTATGCCACATTTCAATTTGGGCCAGTTGATAGCCATGTGTGGTTACTGGACACCACAGCTCTGGAACTTTGCTTCTAGCAACATCAACACTTCACCTAAGGTCTCTACGATCACCAATTTTCCTTCATGTTGCTTCTTTAAGTTTTAAGAAAGTAGCATCTTAGAGAATTAGAACCTGTGTTGACATTTAAAAATAAACCAGTAAACAAAAAAACAAACAAACAGAACCAGGAGCCTCAGATTAAGTCTAATTTTTCAGGATATCTATCTAAGTGGAATTTTGTTCAAATATAAGTGATAAATAAAACCTCTTGCAGTCATGTCATTTAGATATAATAATTATAGCAATATTTCATAAAGGCTTGACCCTAAACTAGAATCAGTTCTTGTCACCAGGGCCTTAAAATCATTTTTTTGAAAGATAAACATGCATATATGAAATAAATAACCAAGCAGGACAAATATTTAGCTAAGCAAAGTAGATAAGGGAAAGTAAGGGTGAAGGGAAAGGAGTGTACAAAGGTATAGAGGCTGGAATGGGCTGGGGTAAAGGGAGCACACAGTCCCTCAGGAGTTCCTTGCTCTGCCAGCTTTCTTAGTGTTGGAGACCTCCTATGAGAAAGAGGGGAAGCACGATGTAAACTTGCTTTACTCCAGTAAAGGGAGGATCTATTTCAAATCTCTCTGGTGCCCTTCTATTCCACTGAACTGTGCTTCAGCACAATATCTATATGATGCAGTTTGGGGATTTAAAAAATTGTTTTCTGTACTTATAAATTAATGAGACTGGTTTATTTCTGAAACTGATTTAGCTTAATCCCAGTCTGGAGACCCTTACCAATTTTGCATGCTCAACTGAGAGTCCTGAGAACGCTTAGTGTTTATGTTCTCTAGTAGTTATAGCCTCTAGAAAGCCTGTGCTAGTTTTGGTTTATGAATGCACAGTGAACAAATATATGGGCCTCTATAATCCAGGTAATGTGCCAAAGTACTTTTTGTAGAACATTAGTATTATAGCTATTCCATGAAATAAAGTTTAAATGATCAATAGCATTTAGGAAACTCAATACCAGAGGGGCTGGGTATATTAGCATATTAGCTATTTTATTCATTCAACAAATACTGAGTCCCTTTTATGTGCTAGGCACTGTGTTAGGAACTTGGGACATGAGTGAGCAAAACAAATTTGTCTGTCTCATGGAGTTTACATTCTAGTGGAACAAACAAACAATAAGCAATAAAGATAAATTACACAGTATGTTAGAAAACTGAACATGCTAGGGAGAAAAAGGATAGCTAAAGAAGATATAAACTGAAAGGATACACTAGAATAGATGGGCAGGGTAGGCTATTGTTCCCTGGACTGAGCCTAAAGCCTTGGGGAAATAAAAGGAGGCTAGGTTCCTCTGCCTGTGCTCTCTCAAATCTTGTTCTATAGCCTTTCTGCATTAGCTTGCAATTTTGCTTCATTATATTTTTCCTATAATTGTCTGCAACATCAAAATGATGACATCAGTGGTTCTCAAAGTGTGATCCCAAGATCAGCAGTATCAATCTCACCTGAGAACATATTAAAAATGCATCTTCCTGGGTCCCACACTAGACCTACTCAGTAAGGAACTCTGGGGGTGGGGCCCATCAATCTGCTTTTTAAAAAGCCCTTAAAGTTTGAGAAGAACTAAATTTGAGGTTCTACTCCTCCTCCTCAAATGTTCAATATTACTTACTAATTTAAAATTTCATATTTCTAACCTTACAAATTGAGCTTGGATGTAGCAGTATGGAAACGGGTTATCTATGGGCGTATAAATATAATTAAGCATTTCCCTTTATTTTTCCTTTCCAGGGACTGAAAAATCTATGCATTTAGTGTAACCTAGCCTCACATATGACATACAATCAATACCTTTAAGACATTCCACATAAGTCACACTTTTACTGATACAAACATTTGTTTGTTTATCCTCACCCGATAATATTTTTTGCCATTGATTTTTTTAGAGTGTGGGAGGGAGGGAAGGAAGAGAGAGAGAGAAATAACCATGTGAGACAGACATATTGATTGGTTGCCTCCTGCATGCACTCCAACCAGGACTGGGGATCGAACCTGCAACCCAGGTATGTGCCCTTGACCAGAATCAAACCTAAGGCCCTTTGGTCCATGGATTGACTCTCTAAATACTGACACAAACATTTCATATCACAAATTAGGGTCCGCTGCCCCAATATAGCTCACTAAGGTTAAAGTTATATTTGTAATTAGTTTTATTTTTATAGCTATGAATATAAAATTACTCAGACTTCAAGGAACACTACTGCACATGAGAAAAAACATAAATACTTAGGGCACAATATACTTACAGCTTATCATGAAGCAGTTCTCCCAACTTTAATTCTAAAAAAAAAAACAAAGAGAAAAATCCTTTGAATAATATTATATTTATACTAGAGGCATCGCACACACCTCCCACCCATCACGCTTGCAGCCGGCCTTGCTGCAATTGGAGCCTTGCCACGCCACCCGCCTGTGCCCCAACCACCCGCTGGCCGCCAGCCATGCCATACTGCGAGCCGGGGGAGGGTACAGGAGGTGCTCCATGCACCTTATGGTGACCAGTTGTTTGGCCGTTTTGGTCATGACACTTCTTGGCCTTTTATTATTATAATTTAACTTTAAATGTTAAGAAAAAAATAAAACAAAATACTAGTACCTGAAAAATGTCATCATACTGTCACTAAACAGGAGAAACCATTGTAAGAGTTAAAGAAAAGGATATAATGATGTCTGTTTTATTTATTTCTTTATTTTTTGTTAATCCTCACTTGAGAATATTTTTCCATTGACTTTTAGAGAAAGAGTAGAAAGGAGAGACAGAGAGAAACATCAATGGAGAGAGAGAGAGAGAGAGAGGGAGGGAGGGAGGGAGGGAGGGAGGGAGGGAGAGATATCAATTGGTTGTCTCCCACATGCACCCCAAACAGGGCCAGGAATGAAGACTGTAACTGAGGTATGTGCCCTTGAATGGCATCAAACAGGGAACCCGACAGTTCGCAGGCAGACGCTCTATCCACTGAGCCAAACTGTGTAGGGTTAATGATGTCTGTCTTTTTAAAAAAATATATTTTATTGATTTTTTACAGAGTGGAAGAGAGAGGGATAGAGAGCCCAAAACATCGATGAGAGAGAAATATCAACCAGCTGCCTCCTCTATTCCCCCTACTGGGGATGTGTCCGCAATCAGGCTAAATGCCCTTGACTGGAATAGAACCCTGGATCCTTCAGTCCTCAGGCTGATGCTCTATCCACTGAGCCAAACCCGTTAGGGCATGGTATCTGTTTTAAATTTAGTTTTCAGAAAGCTGCTAGAACAGACAGTCCAGGCAATGAATCTAATTATTTCAAAAGGGAAAAACAAATAATTAATACCACAGGCTCATGATCTGCCAAAAGCCTTTAGTTCTAAATCTACATTTAAATGACAATTCTATTGTATATCAACTTTTAGCTTCAAGAAGAACACCATTTGTGCCACTTGAGAAAATGCAAGAGCTAATTATGAAGTTAATAGGATGGTTGTTGGCAACAAAATAATATGCTACCCTCTCTCAATCCACACTGAAGCAGAGATTAAACCATATCTCCTACTCAAGGTCCTTCCATGAAGAAGCAGAATTATTCACTTTTCCTCAAACATAAAAACTATTATCTGACTCTAATGGTTCATCTGTCTAGAATAATTTTCTTATGTTCACTTAGAGAAACCCAACCATTTCTTTAAGCCCCAACTTAAGCCATATGTACTTCATAAAACCTTTCCCATTTAGGTTCATAATAACTGCCTTCTAATATAGATCACTTAAAATCAGTGCAAGATGATAGGTATGATCCACTAATAGTCTAAGATCTCAGCACAAAACTGTACTATACCTCACACTTCTTTCTCTCTTCCTTAGATAGTCATACTAGCACAAGGGCAATCACTCCACTCCCAGTCTAATGTTCTTTTTACTCTCTCTCTCAGGCATATTTTAATTGGACACATATTTTAAGAGTCCAAGGGTAGGCACATGATTTATCATCCTGTTTATACTCAACTGGCTCCCTTTCCATCTGCAGCTGCTCCAAGTCTTCTCTCCTCTCCTTAAGAGCACTGTTCTAAAAACTCCCTGCTTCACCACCAAAGACCTAACCTTCTTGTTCACTAATATAGAAGCCATCAACATGTGAATCCCTCCACCATTCCTCTCCATTCACTTAGAAATACAGGAGTCTGAGCAGCAGGCAGGCTGGCCAACTGCCCATGTCCCCTCCCCCTAGGCAGGCTGGCCAGACCCCACACATGCATGAATTCATGCACCAGGCCGCTAATATATATATGCTGAATGGCCAGATTATGCGTTCAGAGATCATAATAATCTGTCCACTCAGTGTATACCTGTATCTTCACATCCTAACCTCAGTTCCTTCTGTCTCATTATGTCCCTATTTCCCCCCATCCCCAAGTTAATTTCTCTACCATGTTTTTGAGCCAATCCTCTCTTTATAGTTCAAGCTCTCTTTGTTCCTTTCTCTTATCTTCAATCTCCCACCTCAGTAAGGCTTTTCCCCCTCAAACAAACATGCTCATTTACCCAATCATTTATGCCCAAACATTTATCAAATTTACTGTATGTCAGGAAATGTTCTGTGCTAGGGTTACTGACAAGATCTCTGCACTCACAGAGTTACAATCCAGTGGGGGAGACTGATATAAACAATAACTGAAAATGATGATTTATGACAGTAGATAAATGCTATGAAGATAATAAAACAGGGTGATTTAACTGAGATGGAGTTGGATAGAAGGGGGTGAATCTGCTTAGATTTGTTGTTTTGACAATTCCTCACTGGAGAGGTAACATTTTAAGTGATCAAGAAGGAACCAGCTATATGAAGACCTAGGGGTAAAGTAATTTAAGATATGAAAACAAAATATTCAAAGGAGAGACCACCTTGGAGTGTTTAATGAGATAGGAAGGACTTAAAAGTTAACACAGCCCTAGTCAGTTTGGCTCGGTGGATAGAGCGTTGGCCAGCAGACTGAAGGGTCCCAGGTTTGATTCTGGGCACATTCCCAGACTGCGGGCTTGATCCTCAGTAGGGGGCGTGTAGGAGGCAGCCGATCAATGATTCTCTCTCATCATTGATGTTTCTATCTTTCTCTCCCTCTTCCTTCTTCTCTTAAATCAATATAAATATATTAAAAAACAAAACAAGAAACCCATAAATTAACCCAGTGGGTACGAAAAGAAATCTTGCCCTGACTGATGTGGTTCAGTAGGTTGGAGTGTGGTCCTGTACCTCGAAATATGGGGGGGTTTGAGTCCCAAGTAAGGGCATATATCCAGGTTGTGGGTTTGATCCCTAGTTGGGGCATGTTCGGGAGGCAACCAGTTGATGTTTTTCTGTACGCTGATATTCTCTCTCTCTCTCTCTCTCTCTCTCTCTCTCTCTCTCTCTCTCTCTCTCTCTCTCTCTCTCTCTCTTTCTCTGTCTGTCTCAAATCAATAAAAAATGCTAAGCGAAATAAGTCAGTTGGTGAAATAAGTATTACATGATCTCACTCATTTGTGGAATATAAGGAACAACATAAACTGTTGAACAAAAACGGAGCCAGGTGAAAAAATATTTTAGAATATATAAGTAATCCTGTTATTTGCAGATTTAAAAAAATATATATATTTTATTGATTTTTTACAGAGAGGAAGAGAGAGGGATAGTTAGAAACATCGATGAGAGAGAATCATCAATCAGCTGCCTCTTGCACAACCCCTACTGGGGATATGCCCACAACCAAGGTACATGCCCTTGACCGGAATCGAACCTGCAACCTTTCAGTCCGCAGACTGACACTCTATCCACTGAGCCAAACCAGTTTCGGCTATTTGCAGATTTTTAATATTTCCTACAACTTTTGTGATATCATACTATGCTAGTACAGTTTTGGTAATGTTATTATATTTAAAATTATTTTTTTCTCAAAACATTAATGTTTACGACATGTAATATTATATTTAAGATTGTTTTTTTTGGGGGGGAATAATTGGTGTTTATTGCATGTAACATTATTATATTTAAGATAGTTTTTCTTGAAATATTAAAAAATAAATTAAAAAAAAACAACCCTAGGCCCTAAGGGGGAAAAATAAAAATAAGATCAATTAAAAAAAACATATCTCCAGGTGAGGATTAAAATATATATTTTTATGGTGGGAGGCACCAGATCATAAAGGCCATGGGAAGAAGTTGAAATTTATTCTATATGTAACAGAAAGCCACTGGAGGATCTTAAGCAGGGCATGGCATAATCTGACCACTTTCAAACCTCAAATAGACAACAATACTACTGTCTTTAGATAAACATATTCCATTTACACAGTTCAAAATTATATACTCTAACCTTTACTTAAAAAGTGAAGAAAATTTTAATAGAAGAAAGCACCTTAATATCTTTATTTAACACACACACACACATACATACATACATACATACATATATATATATATGTATATAGGCATTTAATGAAAGTTAAACCTATATATATATGGCATTAAATGAAAGTTAAACCTAGAGGATAGAGAATGAATAGTGTGATCAACAAACTTATATAAAGCACACTTATCCACTGATTTGATTTACTGAGACAACGCAAAAATCACAATCAAGATTTTAGTTTACCTTTGCCCAGATTCTGAACTTCTAATCCAAATATCCAAACTCACCTCCGCAAGCTTGTACAAAATCTTGAGTTATGTCCACCCAGTTTGCACTGCTTTTATCCATCTTTTCTGGTATGCTGAGCTCCCATCCTGAATCATCGTCTTCCACGGACGCTTTCATCACCATTATGCCTGCAAAATGAATACTGGTGTAAAAGAGGAGGATGGACATAGCTCTCAGGGCCAGCCTATTTGCAAGCCATGTGCGTTTAAGTATGGGATGGAAACCTTAACCCAAGTGTTTAAGTCCAGCTCTTCTGAGTTTGAGGCCCGTACTGGGGGGGGGGGGGGGGGGGGGTAAATGTCTTCATACAATTAAGTCTCACCATAATTAATACGACTGCGGCTCGTTTATTTAGCCAACCCCCTACCAGAGCTCATAGAGTTTGCCTTCTATTTCAGGAGAGAGGAAAAAAAAAAAAAAAGTCACACCTCTGCACTGGCCCGAGCAGAACAAACTCCAGAGCTCCCAACATGCAACTCGGGCCGCCACTGACCCAGGAGTTCTTCGGGGTCCCCGCTCCCAGCTATCCCGGTCAGGGTGATCGCCCACCTGCCGGGGTGGGTGGGGGGGACCACGGGCCGCCACCCCAGCCGGCAGCACCCCGGCACGGCACAGCCCGGCCGAGAGGCGTGGTGCGCGGGGGCGCCCTGTGGGGTCCCCCTCCACCCTCTAACCCCCCCGGCCAGGCCCAGAGCAGGGGTGCACCTGAGCGGGGACGCGCACCCACACCCCACCCGGCTCAGCACGCCCAGGCCCCACAGGGCGCGAAAGCAAGGATAGGGCGGAATGCGGGCACACTTCGGATTGGGGCTTCGTCCCGGTAACACCCGTCAAGGCCGGTCCTCGACGGGCAGCGGGTATCCGGGTACCCGGGCTCCTACCTGAGGCGCGGCGGTACGACCGGGGCCGCAGGGTGACCTGGCGTCCCCAGGATCTGCCACAAGAGCGGGGTCTGAGCGCTCACACACGGGAGACAGGAAGTCTCAATGGCTCCGCACGGGCGGTCCCTGCCAACCACTCCAGTGGCTACCGCGCCGCCACGCACCGAGCAGACCGCGGAAATAACGACGCCTCCCCTGCCGCCGCCCCCTCCCCTCAACTCCGCACGCCTAGCTGCGTGCGCGCCTGCGTACGCCCGGAGCGCGCGACCCCGCCCCCCTCACTGGCTCCCGGGGACTTCGCGCTCCCCGGCCACGCCCCTTCCTCGCCACTGCCACCGTCTGGCCTATCGCTGCCGTCTTCTCTTCTCGCGTAAATATAGCCAATCGCGAGACCGGAAAAATACCTTTCTTCACCAGCTATGGCCCAGTCCCAGGGTAGTGGGCGGGTCCCAGTAGTGGGCGGGGCCTGGGGACAGCCCGCCCCGCGCGGCTCCCTGGGAAATTCTTGGAAAGATGACGTGAAGGCTCCAGGAAGTCATGGAGAAGTCAGGAGACCCCATCAGGTGCGGTCTCGAACGAAGGGCCGGCTCCTGGAGTTGTACCGAGCTAAAGGCTGCCCAGGTTTATGTTTTCTGAAGAGCGCCTGCGAGTTTCTTGGGGGAAAAAAATAGAAACAAAACATCTGTAGGGTCAAGCTAGCCATTTGCTTTCAAACTCATACAAAAAAAATTTAATAAAAGAATCAGTTTTGAAATGGAGTTATGTGAGTAGCCTGGTAGGGGTAAGGAACGCATCTTTGCCACGACATACCCATTAAACTTTAAAAGAAGATACCAAATGTGAACTAGGACATGGAGCAGCTGGACCTTTCTTGTTGCTGATGGGAATGCAAAATGGTTGCAACTACTTTGGTAAAGTTTGTCTTCACTATAAAATCATGCACTTCAGTGTTCCAGCAATTCTGCTGCTAGGTATTTACTTAGGAATAAAAATGTGCTTGTATGTTAATTTTCATAGTGTTATTTTTTAACTAGTGGCCCAGTGCTCAAAATTCATGCACTAGAGGGGTATGTCTCTCTTCCCAGACTGCACCCTCTCCAATCTGGGCCCCTTGAGGGATATCCCTCTATCAATTTAGGACTGCTGGTTTCTAACCACTGGCCTGATTGCCTGCCTGATTGCCCCTAACGGCTCCCCAGGCGGCCTGATCACCCCGAACTGCCCTCCCTTGCTGGCTATCTTGTGCCAACATGAGGGTGCCATCTTGTGAGGATCAATTTGCATATTACCTCTTTATTATATAGGATGACAAAAAACTGGAAACAACCCAAATGTTCATCAACTGGTGAACTTGGGGCATAGCCATATGATGTAATTAATAGTAATTACCAACAAATAGTTACCCAGGTGAACTATTTAACATGCAAAAACACATCTCAAAATAAATTATGTTGAGCAAAGGAAATCAGAGTTTGGGCAAAAGAGTATGATTCCATCTATATGAAACTACAAAAAGACAAATCTAAACAGTGACAGAAAACAGAACAGTGACTGCTGGAGGTGTCAAGAAATGATTAACTGGAATAGGAGTAGGTGATCCGAGGTGATGGAGATGTTTTATATCTTGATTATGGTGATTGTTATATGGGTGTATGCAAGCGTAAAAATTCCTTTGAAATAAAAAATGCATTTTATTGTTTGTAAGCCAAACCTCAATAAAGTTGATCTAAAATAATAAAGAATACATCTTTATGTTTTACAGGATAATACATTTCCTAAGGGCAGGAGCTTTGCCTATTTTGATTAAGCTTGTATCGGCAGCATTTAGGGCAATGGTTGGCATGAAGCAGGCACTCACTAAATACGCTGAGGCCAGAACCCCTGTGGCTCAGTGGTTAAGCATTGGCCCAATAAACCAGGAAGTCACTGTTCCATTCCTGATGGGGCAAATGCTGGGGTTGTGTAGGAGTCAGCCAATCAATGTGTGTGTGTGTGTGTGTGTGTGTGTGTGTGTGTGTGTTTTTTTTCTTCTTTTTTCTTTTTTTTTCTCTCTCTGCCTTTCCCTTCCTCTCTAAAAATCTCTCTCTAAAAACCAATAATATAATCTTTAAAAAAGAAAGGAAGAAAGGAAGAAATAGCCAAATGTCTGTCCATTATGGCTTTATCTCATTGAAGGAGAAAATGATCTTTACTGAGCTATATTACTATAGTCCCAGCAATATGGGTAACATGACACATTGCAAGAAGTATGTTGCTACAAAATAAAACATGTTGGTTGTGGAAACTGCAAAGTAAATAGAAAAATTTAAATTTGTCTTCCCTTAAGTGTTACACTAAATAGTTACTGTTCAGTAACCTAAATTAGTTTTTAATGTTTGTTAACCTCCACACTAACTTTTAAGTATATTTGTTATAAAACCAATATAAAAACTACCCATAGCCTAGCCGGTTTGGCTCAGTGGATAGAGCATTGGCCTGTGGACTGAAGGGTCCTGGGTTCAATTCCAGTCCAGGGCACATGCCCGGGTTTTAGGCTCAATTCCCAGTAGGGGGCATGCAGGAGACAGCCAATCAATGATCCTCTCTCATCATTATGTTTCTATCTCTCCTCCCATTTGAAATCAATAAAAATATATCTTTTTTAAAAAGTTACCCATACTTGTAAGCCTAGTGTAGAAATCACCCATAATTCTAGGCTGAAATAAGACCTTAGTTCAAGAATGTTCAAGAGCTTTACTCATTTTCCATGAATATACAACATATGCTTTTATTTTGTCTTATTAAAAGTGGATTCTTACTGTATTTACTGTTTTATATTCTATTTTTAACTTCAAAATGGAGTATGAATATATTTCACATTAATAAAAATTGTAGAAAACTCAGACACAAATACTATTCCACTCAGGATTGTGGTTATTTCTCCTTTGTGATTTCTTGTCTTGTCAGTTTTTTACCTTATCAGGCTTGCAAAAAGTTTATGTAGCCGAAACCGGTTTGGCTCAGTGGATAGAGTGTCGGCTTACAGACTGAAGGGTCCCGGGTTCGATTCTGGTCAAGGGCATATACCTTGGTTGTGGGCACATCCCCGGAGGGGCATGTGCAGGAGGCAGCTGATCGATGATTCTCTTTCATTGATGTTTCTCTCTATCCCTATCTCTTCCTCTCTGTAAAAAAATCAATAAAATATATTTAAAAAAAAGTTTATGTAGCTCACACAATTTTTCCCCATTTGTATTTTTCCGCCAAAACCAGCTTTTTATTTTTTATCCTTTTTGTATGTTTTCTAATTTATTAATTTTTATATGCTATCCTTATTACTAACTTCTAAGACTCTTAATAGTCCTTTCCTAATTTCATAAGTTGAATAGTTAGTTCTTTAATTTTTATTATTTGTATTTAATGAGGACATTTGAGATGCTAAAGCTTACTCGAGGTTTGGTTTATAACATTTTTTTTCTATTCCCATTGATTTCTTTATTTCATGTGGAGAGCGACTACAGCGTTTGGACAGGTTCAAGACTCGAACTAATGAGAGGCACGGTCCTCTTGTGGCAAAGCCATGAGCAAGTCCCAGCTTGGAGGCAAAGCCCTCCCAGCACAATTATAGCCAAAGGCTTTAGTTGTAAGCTTGACCTTATGGTCCCAAGAGGCTAAGAGATGTGGGCATATATAGTTCAGGTGCATGTAATTGAGTAGATTCGAAACTGCGAGAACATTGTAAACATTTTGACCATGCCCTTGCTTTGCCTCGTCAGATCTGACTTTAAAATAAAGACTCGGAAAAGTGTGCTAATAATTTCATTGTGTTGATAATGATGATAGCTATTCAATATAATTTTTTTCTTCAAGAAAGTAATTTGTTTTGTACTGGTGATTGGATTATTTCCTCTATCATGAGAATCATTCTCAGTATTTGTTAGGGTTGTTGTTGTAATTTTTATTTTTGTAGAATTCAAGTTTTATGATCTATAAAGTGTTCTGATTTCAGGACTTCAATTTTTCTGTAACAAGATCAGGTGTCTTTGGTCAGTCTTCAATTTCTAAGTCATGTTTGTGGTTAGATAGATTGGCCAGAGAATGCATTAGGGTTGGCTCACTCAGATGTAAACTTAGGACATCTTGTTTGCTTTTCTTACAGTGAATAAATAATACTTAACTCTGAAAAAAAAAATAAAAATAAAATAAAGACTCGGCTTATCGGCTGTGGCACTGTCTCTCCATCCGAGAACAGTGTCCCATCTAGCCCCAGCCTTATTCTCTTGTCTGTCTTCTTTAATCCTTCACAACCCCTGCCCTCCCTCAGGTTCACTCTGGGCTTGCTAAACACGGCACAATTTCATCTTTTAAAAATTCCACCTTTATTTATTTATTTTTTTAATGTTGAGGGGCCACCCTGGCCAGTTTTGCTCAGTGATAGTGTTGGCCCATGGATTGAAGGGTCCCAGGTTCAATTCTGCTCAAGGGCACATACCTTGATTGCAGGTTCTATCTCGACCTTGATCCTGGTTCATGTAGGAGGCAACCAATTGATGTGTCTCTCTCACACTGATGTTTCTCTCTCTCTATTCCTCCTCCTCCCTTCCATTCTCTGTAAAAATCAATGGAAAAATATCTGCCCATGAGGAGTAACAAAAAAAAAAAATAAATAAAAATGTGAGGGTCACCTATTGGTGTATTTTAATCTTTATTTTAAATGTTATTGGTTAATAATCAAATAGGATCCCAAAGTACTAAGATTTCATGATGATATGCTAAAGTATAAATCTATTTATTTTCATCATTTTCTGGCCATTAAGTGTACCCTTTAAATGTAAAAATACCTATCGTTCAGTTCTCAGGAATTTCCTTAAATTGTATTTTATTGTATCCTCCTCCTTTCCTTTGTCATCAATTTCTAAAAACATTACTATCCAGATGACAGATGTCTTGAATTGGTCTCTAATTTAAAAAATATTTTCTGTATTTTAAAAAGATTATTTTTTAAAATTAAAATGGTTTTTGCTTTGTTAACTAGGAGAGTTTTCAGCTTTATCTCCTAAACTTTCTATCAAGTTTTCATTTTTGTTATCACATTTTTTAATTCCCAAGAGGTCTTTTTTTGTTCTATGGATTTTCTTTACCATAATAAAATATTGTATATTTTCCACATGTACATTATCTTCTCATATCTCTGATAACATTAATGATATTTTTCTTTTTTTTCCCCTACAGACTTTATTTCCTCTAATTTTTTTCCCCTTCTAATTATTTCA